TGCTTCGCGTTCACCAGATTCGAATGCTCGTGGTGCATTACATCCACGAGGACATGATCAGTCCGGTGTCGCGCTCCATGAACAAACGCTACGTCTCGTGGCGTCTTCTCTTCGACCTCATGCTGTCCTTCCCTTCTCGCATCTCGTTAAAGAAGGAGTGAAAGCGTTGTGCACTAGTTGGAGACGATTACCCTGCTTCTTTCGTCCCATGCAAGGTGCCCCTGAAGTGGCTGCGAGGATGGTTAAGTCATCAGCCATCGAAGGAAAGTATCCTCGGGCTTCATCAGAGTGGAACACTATGCCAAGGAGCACCAGAATGTAGAGATTTGTATGAGTTTTACAAATAGGGTATAGATGAATATATAAAGGCAGTGGTTTATCGCCCGTCACTCTGACCAGTATAGGAAAAGTTTTGTGGATCGAGTTGGAACTCAGGCGTAAATTCCTTTAAGTTTTAGCCTTGTGACCATACTCCCCTCGGAACCCAAAGACTTTGATTTCTCATGAGGTGCTAGTGGTGTCATCTAAATAATATTTGCCAATCCCTAGTTTATGGTTGAGACTAGGATGGTATCTGATCGTCTTCAAGCCCCCAACTTTTGTTCTTGATTAATGAAAACATCCTTGGCAAATGCTTTTGCAGTAGTTCGTCTTCCATGTTTTGGCAAGGTGATCAATGACAAGATCCATTGGCAATGGCACCCCCTTGATGCTCTTCTTCGTTCAGCTTAGGGGGGAGACATGATTCGAAGGAGATGACCATGTTCAGCAAGGCAGATCCCATGGCCTTCTACATGCAGAACACAAATATGGTTGGCAACTGCTGCCACTGCCTGGCAGTTGGTGTACTATTACAAGGAGTGCTAGGTGTTTTGGTGTGCCTGAGTAAGGAGCATGGGATATCTTGTTGACAAAGCACTGGCGCAGAATTTGGAGGCAAGTTAAGCCTACTGGTCTGCAAGAACACGACCTGCCGTACGTTTGGCAGCGTCGTCAGGAGAAGCCACACCTTGTTGGATGTAAGTTCATCACGCTTTCCACAGCAACAGCCTTACGGAAACAAAAACAAGTCAGATTTGAAACCAGGACCTGAGTTGCCAGCCTTCCAACTCGATCCACAAAGCTTTTCCTATGCTGGTCAGAGTGACGGGCGATAAACCACTGCCTTTGAATATTCATCTATAGGCCATTCTGCTCAAGCAGTAAACAATCCCATCCTCCAGACAACGAGATTGGCCTCTATCACGCCAAGCGATTCCGTCAGCCCCCTCTGGATACACTCGAGCAAGTATGGCTTCAAGGGGCACTCCCGAGACTGTAACCAAGCCACCCTTGTCATCACGCCAAAGAAATCACCTAAACTACAGTCCCTGTCCTCATGTTTGCCTCCCGCATACACCCAGCCGCTTGTAAAGCAGCGCTGGCCATTGTTCTCACACAGCCTCGTCGCACACAAATCCGGCCGCCGCAAAACGCAGCAAGGAAAAGGAGCTGTCGGAATTTTACAGCCCATGGAAGCACTATTTGCTTCAATTGGGTTTGCTATGGTAAATCAAGCTCCATCCTGGATAATAATATTAGCGTTCGCTCGCCAGAGAGTCCAGAATGGCCAGGTTGAGAGCAAGTGGATGCAAGTCATTGCTGAACAATGAAATACCATCCTTTGGAGAAGAAAGATTAAAAACTTTTCGGGGAGTTGTGACTTCTAGGTACTGGTGGCTTGAGAAAATTTGGCTCCGTAGCCGATGGACTCGGTATGGATTATTTATTGATTCCTATACTTTTATAATTTTCAAGTGATACAAAAACATAAATTTTATTTTTCTGAGTTTTTTAATATCTCTATTCCAAACCTTTAAACGAGGTTCGTTAGCTTAAACTGTTGTCCCCTAGGGTACATGAAAATGCCGCTGCCGAAAGCTCTGTTTCGGCTTTGCAGTCTACCAATATGAGAAATGAGAATAGCTCTTCTTCAAAAGGTCAGTCGATCTGTTGCTCTTTTTTTCTCAATGCTTGTTTTCGTTTCTTGGGTGTAGGCCAAATTTGTCATCGGAAAATCACAGTGGTCTAGTACACTCGCGTTCCAGCATCAAACCAAGGTAGCCCATCTTCTCGCTGCGTTGAAAGAATGCAGCATCTCGAGAGACTTGCAAGAGGGGAAGAGGCTTCACGCCGAGGCAGGGTCCCGTGGGAACGAAACCAACGTTTTCGTGGCCAACAGCCTGATCAACATGTACTCCAAGTGTGGAGACATGGCAGAAGCTCGCAAGGTCTTCGATGCCATGGCGTGTCCTACGCTTGTCTCCTGGAACACTGTGATGCTGGGATACGCAGAGAACGGGCAGGAAGATCTGGCTCTCGAGTTTCTGGACAGGATAGAGGCTGAAGGAGGCGGCTGTGTAGCGGACGATGCAAGCTACGTCGCTGCTTTCAAGGCTTGCTCGGGCTTGGCGGCTCGAGAAGAAGGCGAGGAGCTCGATGGGAAGCTCGTCAAAGTTTCGGCTCTAGAGAAGACAATGGATCTCCACGCTCGAGCCGTGAGAAGTGGACGGGGTTTGCAAGCTATGGCTTCAAGGAACGTCTTGGTTGATACGTATTGCAAGTGTGGGAGCATGTTGGATGCTCGCAAAGCGCTGGACAGGATGAGATATCACAGCGTTGTCTCGTGGACTGCCTTGATGATGGGATACTCGGAGAACCACGAGGAAGAACTCGCCTTGAGCTTGTTCTTTCTTATGGAAGAACAAGGACTGGAGCCGAACTCTCTGATGGTTCTGGCCGCGTTGAAGGCTTGCTCAAGCTCCGCCACTAGTGAAGAAGGCGTTGAACTTGGCGGCAATCCTTTCGTCAAGATGGTGGCGCTGGAGAAAGCAATGGCTCTTCACCGTGAAGCCGAGAAGAAGAAGTGTCACGACGAGCTCTTCGTAGCAACAAGGCTGCTTCAAACGTATGCGAAGTCCGGAAGCCTTGTGGACGCGCGGAGAGTCTTCGACAGGATGCCTTGGCACAACACGGTGTCGCAGAATTCTCTCATCCTTGGCTGCGCGGAGAATGGTGAAGAGGAGCTGGCGCTGGATTTGTTCTTCCGGTTCGAGCTCGAAGGCTGTGACTCGAATGCCAAAACTCTCGTGGCTGCGCTCAAGGCATGCAACGCTCTCGCAACGAAAGAAGAAGCCAAGCTCGTCGATGGGAAGCTCCTGAAGATAAAGTCGCTGGCCAAGACAATGGCTGTGGAGTCTCGGGCTCGCTGCAAGGATATCTTCGTGTGGAACACGCTGGTTGATACGTACGCGAAATGTGGGAGCATGGTGGACGCTCACAGGGTGTTTGAGAAGATGGCGTGCCACAGCGTTGTGTCGTGGACAGCGCTCGTTCTTGGCTATGCTGAGAGTGGAGACGGGGACTTTGCCTTGAAGCTGTTTGAGAGCATGGAGCCTGGTGTCGCGAATGTCCTCACTTACGTTGCCGCGTTGAAAGCTTGCATCACTTTCACTGGCAGCAATGAAGTTCTCGGGAAGGATGAAAAAACTCGAGGTGATCCAGGAAGAACTCAAGTTCTCGGTGATCCAGGAAAAACACAAGTTCTCAGGAAGGATGCAAGCGCTCAAGCACATCCAGGGAAAACTAAAGTTCTCGGGAGTGATGGAAGTACTCAAGGTGATCCAGGAAGAACTCAAGTTTTCGGGAAGGATGGAGTCACTCAGAGTGATCAACCAGGGAAAACTCGACGACATCCAAGGAATCCAGACAGACTCTCCCAAGAACACCAGCAGGAACAGCAGCTCCGCAAAGTCGAGTCGATTCACTCTCGAGCTATGGAGGCGGGTTTGGACTCAAACATGTTAGTGGCGAGCAGCCTGGTGGATCTTTACGCGCGGTGTGGCTGCACGGGAAAGGCTCGCAGCGTTCTCGAGGGAATGAGCTGTCGCGACACAGTTGCATGGAACACGCTCATCCTTGGCTACGTCGAGAATGGCGAAGCGCGAGAAGCTCTCGAGTGCTTCTCGAGGATGCGATCGCTGGACCGGAATTGCAAGCCGAATGCACAGACGTTCGTGGCTACTCTCAAGGCTTGCACGAAGCTGGCAGCGATGGAAAGAGAGATCCATGAAGAAGAGAAAGAGAAAGATCATTCGTCCAAGGCGATGGCGATGGCGATGGCGGTGGCGCGCAGCACTGGGAATGCTTTGAAGATTGGAGCTGATCTTCACTCTCAAGCTGCAAAGCTCGGGCTTGATCTCGACGTGAGCGTTGCGAACTCGCTGGTGGAGATGTACGCGAGGTGTGGAAGCATGCCCGATGCTCGTGGGGTCTTCGACAAGACCACCATCGCCAGGAGCTCCTCGCAGAGTTCTTCGTCAACTTTGGTGCCACTTATTGTAGGATACGCCGAGAACGGCGACGCCGAGCTAGCTCTGGAGATCTTCTTCGACTTCCACCGCCGCTCCATCGACCAGCGCCGCGATTCCTCCGCGATCTTGGTGGCGGCGCTCAAGGCCAGCAGCGTTCTCGCCAGCCTCCCGGCTTGCAAGGCGATCCACGCCCAGATCGCTCGAGCTGGGCTGCTAGACCAGCGAGAGATCATCGTCACCAATTGCCTAGTCGACGCCTATGGCAAATGTGGCAGAGCTCTCGACGCAAAGCTCCTCTTCGATTCCATCGCGCTGCTCGACACCGTCACCTGGAACTCCCTCCTCGCGGCGCACGGCAAGCTGGGCGGTAGCACGGATGCCGTGCTGCACCTCTTCCGCACAATGTCGTACGAGAGGTACCGCGCGGACGGCATCACCTTCGTGGCGGTGCTGGCGGCGTGCAGCCATGGTGGGCTGGTAGACACGGGCAGGGAATATCTCCAAAGGATGCTGCCCGTGTACGGCGTGCAGCCCCGGGCGGAGCACTACGCCTGTACGGTGGACATGCTGGGGCGGGCCAATCAGCTCGCGGCGGCGGTCCAGGTGGCGCGGGATTTCGGGAGGGGCAGCGCTATGATATGGCGGGCAGTTCTGGGCGCGTGCTGGAAGTGGGGGAATGTGGAGCTGGGGGAGGTGGCATTTGGGGCTCTGGTCGAGCTGGACGGCAGGGATGCGTCGGCGTTCGCGCTCATGGCTAATATCTACGGCTGCGCAGGGTTGTGGGACAAAGTGCGAGAGGTCGCGGGCTCGAATCCTGGTGGTGGATGTCCTTGCTAAGTTGGGAGTTCGAATACTGGGAGTGTCAGCTCTGGCCTGGAAGCTGACCAGGTTCACGTGGCCTGGATATAGTTTAATCTCACACGTTGGTCGCGCGAGGTAAAGTCCACCGTTGGATATTTTATTTGTGGTTCTATGTTAGCGTATTTGCTCGTGATTTTTTTTGCGTAGGGCTTGTAGCGATCGAAGGATGGGGACGATCGAAGGAGGAGGATGCTGCGCTGTTGGTCCCGGCTATGGAACTCCATTGGACGCTACAAAGGGGCCGCGAGAATCTTTGCTCTATGTCACGGCGGTTTACACAGGTATGGTGTGAGAATTCAAGCTTGCAAGCAAGAATCTCTTGTTTTTGCCCTTGTTTCGCGAAGGAACTGGGCGATCTTTGCCGGATTACCTGGCTACGGTGGATGTGGATCCAAAATCGCCAACATTTTCAAAAGTAGTGCATCGCCTCCCAGTTCCGCATGTCGATGACGAGCTCCACCACTCTGGATGGAATTCTTGCAGCTCCTGCCATGGAGAGAAGGATGCTGAGCGTCGCTACCTTGTTCTTCCATCGTTAGTGTGAGTATATCACAGCTCCTAAGTTTTGTTCGTGAGCTAAGTCCTTTGGTCTTTCAGTTCTTCTCGAATTTACATTGTGGACACTCTGAAAGATCCGAAAGCTCCAGTGCTTCACAAAGTGATCGAGGCGGAGGATATATACGAAAAAACTGGGCTCGCGTTTCCTCACACCGCGCATTGCCTTGCTTCCGGCGAGATTATGATCTCGTGCCTTGGAGACAAAGAAGGACGAGCACAAGGAGCTGGATTCTTGCTCTTGGATGGAGAATTCAACATCAAAGGAAGGTAAGTTCTCGTGAGTTCTCGTGAGTTCTTGTCGTTCACGCCATTTTTTGTCACTTTTGAGCTTTGGATCTTATGACTTAGATGGGAAAAACAAGGACACAGTCCCTCTTTTGGCTACGACTTTTGGTATCAACCTCGTCACAAAACGATGATCAGTAGTTCCTGGGGGGCGCCCTCTGCGTTTACCAAAGGTTTCGATTTGGGAGATCTTTCCAAGGGTCTGTACGGGAGAGAACTCTTTGTGTACGACTGGCCGGGCGGAACTTTGAAGCAAACCATCGATCTCGGTGACACTGGATTGATCCCACTCGAGGTAGCGGTTTTTTTCTTTTTTTCTCTTTTTTCCTGGAGTTTTGTTGGTGTAGATTCGGTTTTTACACAATCCAGAAAAGGATACTGGCTACGTAGCCTGTGCTCTGAGCAGTACTTTGGTCCGGTTCTTCAAGAAAGATGATAGCACTTGGGATCATGAAGTAAGCTTGAATAGATCCTGGAGTTCTAACTCTCTCTTTCGTGTTTAATCTTAAGGTGGTGGTGACTGTTTCGCCGCTAAAGGTGAAGAACTGGATCTTACCCGAGATGCCTGGCTTGATCACGGACCTTCTCATCTCCCTGGATGATCGTTTCCTCTACTTTGTGAATTGGCTTCACGGCGATTTGAGGCAGTACAACATCGATGATCCATCCAAGCCTGTGCTAACCGGGCAGCTCTGGCTGGGAGGCTTGGTTTCCAAAGGCAGCAAAGTGTTGGTCGAGAGCTCTACCGGAGAAGACTGGCAATCCAGCGTTCCTCCAGTCCAGGTAAGCGAAATTCTTTCTATCCAATCGAGGATTCCAGAGAGAACTTTGTTTCCAGGGGAAGAAACTGAGAGGAGGCCCCCAGATGCTGCAGCTCAGCCTCGACGGCAAGCGTCTCTACGTGACAAACTCGCTGTTCAGCTCCTGGGACAATCAGTTCTATCCAGGCCTCGCGAGCGAAGGCTCTCACATTCTCCAGGTGGATTGCGACACCCAGAAAGGAGGCCTAGCTCTCAATCACGATTTCTTCGTCGATTTCGGCGAGGAACCAAACGGGCCTGCGCTGGCGCACGAGATGCGCTACCCTGGCGGCGATTGCACCTCCGATATCTGGGTCTAAAAATTTGCTCTTCAAATTTTAGGGTTCTTCCACCGGGCCCCAATTCACGACGCGTGGCAAACGCCAAGTGTCACAGACGTGGCTATTTGTGACACGTGGTGACACGTCATTGGCACTCGTGTCGAAACCTGACAAGGAAATAATTTTCTAGGGCTTTTTAGACGGATAAGTGTGCTTGGGGATGGATGAGGATGCTGACCGCGGCGCACAGCGGCCGTGTGTGCCTACGATCGATTTCTTGTCCTCTTGCGTGGCGTTGCGTTGTCTACATACGAGATCGACGGGATCATTTCTCTCCACCGCTTATATAATCTCTCCTTAGTCTCTCTGCATCTGGTCTAGATTTTTCTCCATGCCTAGAGCATAGATCGCTCGATCTTCTTCGCGTTTCTCTTCTTCTCGATCCTCTTCTTTCCATTCTTGGCGTTTTCGTTTCTAGATCGTGGCCATGCCAGGGATTCTTTGGCATTCCGATCGTAATGAGCGAAATTTCGAGAGCGATTGCTATAGCAGCGGCAGCGAGCACGAAGCGATGGCCAGCTCCCTCTTCTTGGAGGAGATGGTGAACGATTTCATGGAGGAGGAGTGCCGCTTGAGCGGTTGCTGTAACGGCGATCCCTCTCCAGTTAATGCTAGTGCCAAATCGCAAGATCTCGCCGACGAGCTGCGAGATTTCCTTCTGCATCAGGTAAGCAAGCACAGATCGATTGATCGCAGTTGCGCTCCTCTCATATCGGAAATTCTTCTTCTCCTTCCAGAGATCTTCTTGCAGTGGCGATCTCCAGAAACTCGCCGCCGACGTCGAGCGATCCAAGGATCGTGCCGGGAAGATCGTGACGCCCGAGGCGGAGAATCCGGAGCAGCAGCGCTTGCGATGCACCGCCGCGAACCTCCGATCGATGGGATACAATGCTGCCGTTTGCAAATCGCGCTGGAGCCAATCGAAAGGAATCTCCAAAGGTCGGTTACAAACTATTTCTATCCTTTCGCGTTCTCACAGCGTGATTCTCTCCTCTCTTCCAGGAGCGTACGCCTACATTGACGTCCTCCTCGACGCCGGCTCCAAGCGAGTGATCATCGACACAGATTTTAGCTCCCAGTTCGTGATCGCACGCCCCAGCGACGAATACCAAGCGATCCTCGCCGAGATCCCGCCAGTGTTCGTGGGCTCCGAGGACGAGCTCCACAAATTCCTCCACCTCATCTCCCTCGCAATGAAACGCTCGCTCAAGGCGCAAAGTCTCACGCTCCCTCCCTGGCGGAGACCCGACTACCTCACCGCGAAGTGGTTCTCGCCATACCGGAGAACAACCAATCCTCTTCCAACGCCAACTCCAACTCCAGCTCCCTCGAGACAACAATCCGACTGGAAGAACAGCTTCTCCAGTGACGAGATCGATCGATCGAAAAGGCCCGCGAGCTCCGATCCGAGATCCAAGAAATCGCCCGGCCTTGCGACGCTGCTGGCCGAGGCCGGGATGATCCGCCAGGAAACTCACCAGCTCGTGACAGTCGCGACTTAAGATAGAAACTTCGAAAGCACACATATAGAAGAAAACAAGTGTGTTCTTGGTGGTTTTTTTGGTAGAAGCAAAACCATATAGTAAGAGGAGAGAATTATCTCTCTTTTTTTCTCTCTCCTCAGTGTTTCTCTTATCGCCGTTTCGATCGATCCATAAGCTTACGCACCTTTCAACGCTGTCCAGGAGATAAAATCCCTTTTCTGGAAATCCGATCAGAGCCTTGACAGCTTGCGAGCACTACCGATCGAATACGAGCCTGCGAGCCTTATCCGCCGAAGAAAAGAAAATAAATCGTCGTAGCCAGAAGAGATATCGAGAAACGCCAGCGACAGGATCACTTAAAGTTCTTGTTTTTCTTCACGAGTTGTGGAGGAGGAGCTTGTGCTGCTGCTGCTGCGGAGTCCCGAAAGTCAGTAGCTGGCTCCCCTTCTCGATTAGCGTCTGCAAAGTTGCTGGAACTTCCGCGCCAAACGAGGACTTGGCCGCTGCCCCGGGAGGACTGGGAGGCCAGTAGCGGAGAACCAATCGGCCAAGGATATGATTAATCGGAAGTGGACCCCTGAAAGGATAAGAAGCTTTAGGTAGAGCTGGGAGCAAAAGCTTGAAAGGATTCCTCACCAAATGTGTGAGTCGTCACTCCTGTTGCGGTTATCACCCAGTACGAAGACTGATCCCTGTGGAACAGGCTGCGGGCAAGCAAACAAAAACGTGGGACGAGTGAATTGAGAGAGCGACCAAGAGGACGTGACAGGCGAACTCACGATTGGCTCCAGGTCATAGCTCAGAGGTTCCGCGATGAAATCCTCGTCTTTGGCACCACCGTTGATAACAAGCTTGCCATCACGAGCCTGCAAAACGGGAACTTGGTTATCAGTTGCGGAGGGTAGGAAAGACAAAGCAAAACTTGAGCCGACCTCAACAACGTCACCCTCCACCGCAACGACACGCTTGATGAACACCTCGCTGGAACTGTAGCCTCGCTCCTACACAAAAAGAACCACGTAAGAAAACAAAGTTCCATCGTTGTCTATCCTATTCCCCAAATCTCTGTAAAGCTTTGATTGGATGAAAGGAAAAGGAGGAGTGTTACTCACTTGCATGGCTTCCGGAGGCTTGAAAATCACAATGTCGTTCACGTTTGGCTTCTTGAAGTAGTAAGAAACCTACACGATGCATAAAAAACGAGAGAAAAAAGGTCAGCGAAGGACACGAAGAAGGCGAAAACTTTGGAACTCTCTTACCTTTTCTGCGAAGATGCAATCGCCAATCTCCAGCGTTGGGAACATAGAGGCGGACGGGATGAATCGGGGCTCGGCCACCAGCCATTTAAACATGACTGACACCGTTGCCGCCGCGAAGATATCCTTGCCATCTTCGCTCGCGAATTTCATCCATTGCCGCATCCATGCCAGGGACCGTCGCCCATCCGCATGTTTTGCGAGATTATCAGCAGTACCTCCATCCCAGGGAAATTTCCTCGCGGAAGAAGAGGATTTCTTCTTGTCATCGCTGGAAGACCGCAGCAATTCGTTGCAAGGCAGCCATTTCATCGTCTGCAAGAATCCGGGAAGGACATACTTGTTGACGACGGATCTGGCCTGGAATGCGCTGACGCTGCAAGAAGCCCGGGGCTTAGGAAGAAACTCGCGGCGCGCAAGAAATTCCGGAGAATCCCCCCTCCAGCACGTATCCGGCTCGAAGCCGTCCGAAAGAAATCCCGCCGCTCTTCCTCCCGACCGCTCCAGACTCAGCGCGATCACCGCCTTGGCCAGGACGGAGATCGGCGAGACGGAGCGGGAGATAGAGCAGGAGATCGCCTTGGTCGCCATACATCCAACCTTCCATACAAATTTCCACACACACTCCACTAATCCGCGCCCCTGGCGCACCAAATCCGGCAAGAACGCGAGAAAGAGAGCTAGGGATTCCTCCTGCTGCCGACGATCAGACGATCTTCCTCCGCTGCCGAAAGAAGGGCGAGGCAATCGCTGCCTCCTCCCACTCGCGAGCTCCGCGAATCTAAACCCTGATTGACCAAGAATGGATAGGTTTTAGGATCGATTCCTGGGAATACAAAGAATTCCAAGACTATAGGAGGTATCTGGTTCGACTCCCGGGAAATACAGACCCGGTCAAAATAAGGCGCCCAAGCTAAGATGCTTGCTTTAATTTTTCCTGGAAGAAAGTTTCCGCGGTGGTCATCGCGTCAGACAAGCCTTCGATGTTACTTCCCTGCGAGAAAAAGAAGAAAGATTCGATCGACAGAAGTTCGTGCGATCGAGGACAAGCAGCGAGTGAGCGACGACATCCAAGAAAAAACTTCGAAACTTTCTTACTTGTCCTTGAGCGAGGCCGTTCTTTCCACCACCGCCCTTGCCTTTGAGCGGAGCGAGAACTTTTTCCAGCCACTCCAGCACCGAGATTCCAGTTACCGCGGCTGGAACTCCCGCGTAGACGAGAACTTTGTTGGCTGCTTCATCCACGCTGAAGAACATCGCTGCGAGATCCTGTAAAAGAGCTCCATACGCTAAGTCTAAATCCACTGGGAAGACACTGGTACCTTGTGCTTGTTAGTGACCGAGGTCACGGCCTCACGAATCGCATTGGCATCCAGACCAACGTCGATTCTAGAAATGCAGCACTTCTCGCCCTTGGAAGCAAGAGCATCTGCTGTGTCCACGGCTGCCTTGATCGCAAGTTTTAAGTTCGCGTCTGCAATCGCTTTTTGGTCTTTCCGGATGCGTTCCTGGCCAAGGTTCCGTGGTTTGAGTTACTACCGTCAAGAAAATTTTATACCTTACCTGGAGCTTGTTAAGTTGGAGCCTCAATGCAGTTTTTCGAGCTGCAGGTAATTCGGCTGCGTCCAGAGAGCTCTTCAAAGCCGCAACTTCCTACGAAAAAAACAAAACAAAGAAAGACTCGGGAATAGCTTGCAGTAAAATGCTAACCTTCTCAAGTGTGGGTCCTTTTAGCTTTGAAACATCGGCCACCTTGAATTGGAAAGAATCCGCTCGCGAGATGGCTTCTTTCGCGAGGTCGCCAGTGAGAGCAATTACTCTACGAACTCCTTTGGAGATCCCCTCTTCGGAAACCAGCGCAAAATCTTGAGCTTCCTTCGTGTTACTGATGTGGGTCCCTGACGGAAAGAAATGGTTCAACGAAAGCAAGAGCGAAACATTTCTTACCTCCGCAAAATTCTGTGGAAAGACCAGCCCATTCTGGATTCTCGGGATCGGACAAAAGGTCCTCCACAGGTTTTCCCACAGTAACAACTCTTACGGGGTCAGGATACACCTGGTAGAAAAAACACTTTCAACGGCTGTGAAATAATAGAGTAATACCTCGCCAAAGACTGCACGAAGGCCAATAATTCGTTTAGCCTGAGCAAGACTTGCTTCTTTCGTGTATACTGGCAATGCATCTTTAATCTGCTTCTCCACGATTGATTCAATCTGCTGAAGATGTTTCGGTTCAATCGGTTTTCCTGCAAACTTTCCAGAGTCAACTTAATGCAAGCTTCGGGAAAAAGGAAAAGTACCATGTGAAAAATCAAATCTGAGTTTCTCTGGTGCAACCAAAGAGCCTTTCTGATCGATGTGATCTCCAAGCACCGTCTGAACAAATAGCAACCATGACAATCAATCGACTTCATAAACTGCAGTTACATATCACCTTGAGTGCGTAATTTAGTAGGTGCGTACACGTGTGGTTTGGAGCAACAAGAGCGCGTCTGGCATAATCAACCTACCTAAGGAAGTCAGACACATTTCGAGGGATTGTACAGAAGCCATACCTTCAAGACCACCCTGTCGTTAAGAGAAATCCGACCAGAGCTTGTAGTGAAATGCACAATATATCCTCCAAAACTCTGAACGTTCTCAATTTCGAATGAAGACGTTTCTGATGTTATCACTCCAGTGTCAAAAATCTACAACCATCCTCAGAAAGAAAAGAGCTTAAGTAAAAGAACTCGACAAAAAGTATGTGTCACAAACCTGTCCTCCTTGTTCAGCATAGAAGCTCGTCGAATCTAGTATCAAGCCCAAGGTTTCTCCGTCCTGACTGCCATTTGATGGGAAGCGTTGAACAAAGCCTTTACTCGTAAAGATTGCAAGCACTGTAGCCTCGTGATCTTCATTCCAAATGTACTTCCTCTTATCGTCAGTTGGCACAATTTGTTGAGTTTGCAAGTAAGAAGTTTCGTCTGCCTCCAAGACTAGAAGTCCTCCGCCAGTCTGAGGAAAAAAATACTTGTTAGACATGCAGTAGTAAAATTTGCTTACTTTTCCGCGTGCAGCTCGCGCCTTCTCTTTTGCTTCCTCCATTACTCGGTTGAAACCTTCAATGTCAACCCGAATATGTTTTTCTTCTGCCATTAACTACAAAAACGAACCAGAACTTAGGCAAGCAAAATAAAGAATGACGAACTCACTTGAGTAAGATCAATTGGAAATCCGTATGTATCCCAAAGCAGGAATGCATCCTAAAACGAGAAAGATAACGAAGTTCACAAAAACCGATAAACCGAAACTGACCTCTCCACTCAACTGATCAGACTTTAAATCGGAGGTTAATCTGTTGAATTTTTCCAGGCCCTGAAAACAATTACGCATGTCAGTCTCATGGCAACCAGGCGAACTGGAAAAACGAAAACCTTTGCAAGAGTTCTGCCAAAACTAGTTTCTTCTTCGGCAATGATTTCCTTAATTTTCTTCTCCGCTTTGCGCAACTCGGGGAAAACGTCACCCATCAGCCTCACGACGACATCCACCAACCTGCGTTCCTCAATGAGAAATCGAACGGTAAAAGTATAAAAATCGCATACCCGCTAAAAAAGCCTTCTTTCGCCTTCAAGACGTCTCGACCATATCTCACAGCCCTTCTCAATATCCGCCGGAGCACATACTCACGCCCTTCATTGCCTGCAGAAAAATGGGATGAAGCTAATGTTCTCTTAAAAAAATTTGTACGTGCCTGGGCGAGCACCGTCAGCGATGGCAAAAGACAGAGTTCGAATGTGATCAGCAACGACTCTGTATGCTGTATCAACGTTATCCAAATCGTCTTTTCCTAGTTTTCCTGAATAAGGACGTGCGCCAGTTACCTGCGACAAACCAGATATAAAAACTCAAACGAGCTTCTTAACTTACCGCCCGGATTTCTTCAAATATCGGCACGAACACGTCCGTATCATAGTTGCTCATCTTATTTTGCAACACAGAAGTTAATCGCTCGAATCCCAACCCAGTATCGACATGCTTTGCCGGCAAAGGTTTCAGTGCGCCATCAGATTCCCTGTTGAACTGATTTGCAAAGCTTAGCATGAGAAACTCCGATCACTTGGACACAAGTACCTGAATGAACACGAGATTCCAAATCTCTATGCATGTGGGGTCATCGTTGTTGACCAGCCCAGATGCATCGCGGTTTCCAAGCCTATCATAATGTATTTCAGTACAAGGTCCACACGGCCCCGTGTCTCCCATTTCCCAAAAGTTATCCTAGATCCCAAGGTTTCATTAGTTTCCACATGTTCCCTCGCTCTAGGAAAGGAAATGAAAAACTTTACCTTGCAACCGAAGGGAAGAACACGACTCTCGGGTAAAACCTTGAGCCAAATCTCTTTTGCTTCGTTGTCTGGTGGAATTCCGAGCTTTTCATCTCCACCAAAGTACGTTGCGTACAGGCGCTCTTGATCGATTTTGTATACCTGTGAACAGTCCAGTGAAAAAAAAACTCTAAAACTGTCACCGAAATCTCTGTACCTCTGTGAGCAGCTCCCATGCCCAAAGGATGGCTTCTTTCTTGAAGTAATCCCCGAAAGACCAGTTCCCAAGCATTTCAAAGAAAGTGTGGTGGTATGTATCCTTGCCAACATCATCCAAATCGTTGTGCTTCCCTCCAGCGCGTATACACTTTTGTGAATTACATGCACGCCTGAGCTGCCCGAGCTTGCTCCTGGGATCCACAATCCCGAGGAAAATCGCCTTGAACTGGTTCATCCCTGGCAATCCAAGAAAAATAGCGCGATACATATTATATGGCATTACTTTACAGCGAAGAAATCACTCACCGGCATTCGTGAAGAGCAGCGTCGGATCATCCAGCGGCACCACAGGACTGGATTCCACAAGCGCATGAGCCTTGGACTCGAAGAATCGGATGAACTGGCTCCGGACCGCGCTCGCAGTCCAGCCCGCCGTCCAGCTCGCCATCGCGCCCTCCTGCTTAGGGCAAGGAAGAAAGCTCTGTTCTAGGGCTAAGCTTCCTTGCGGCCCTTGTTAAATGGAGGGAGAAAATGCCGTTGCCTGGATCGCTCGTCTCGATCAACCCCGCCGCGATTACCAGGGAGGAATCCATTCGCCTCATCAAAAACTGCAAGACCCTAGCATCAGCACGGAGAATCGAGTCTCTCATTCCCAATCGCGATCTCTACCTCTCGAATTTGCTGCTCCAGATGTATGGCCGCATCGGCAGCATTGGCGACGCGGCGAGGATCTTCGCGGCGATTCCCGACGGCGCCAAGAACTCCTTCTCTAGGGTTTTCATGCTCGCGGCATATGCCCGGGCCGGCCATCTTGACAAGGCCAGTACCGTGTTCGAATCCTTGCCCCACAAAACCCTCTTCTCCATGACGGCAATGCTGGATGCTTTGGCGCAAAATGGCTCTACGCAGCAAGCGAAAGATTTCTTCGACAGAATGCCCGAGAGGGACATAATCACCTGGACGACGATGCTCCGGGCATATTCCCGGACCGGGCATCTTGTCGAGACAAAGAATCTTTTTGATTCTATGCCAGGGTGGAACTACATCTCCTGGACAATTCTGCTTGATCTCTACCGTCGGATTGGTGACATTCCCGGATTGCGTGACGTGTTTCAATCTATGCCGCAGAAAGATCTTGCTTCCTCGGCCACTGTGTTAATAGCATATGCCGAGAACGGGCATATTTGCGAAGCCAAAGCTCTCTTTGATTCCATGCCAATGTGGGATCTCGTCTCTTGGACCGCGATGCTAACGGTATATTCCAAATTTAAAACTAGGATAGCGCGAGAGTTCTTCGGCCGGGCGATGCCAGAGTTTGATGTGATTTCTTCCACTGCGATGCTGAATTCACACGCTCGGGACGGCGATTCGAAGCGAGCAAAGGAGATCTTTGATGCGATGGAGGTTAGGAATCTTGTATCTTGGAATTCGCTGCTTTCTGCATTTGCCCCCAGAGATCGGGAGCTCTGGAGTGTGAAATCTCTGTTTGATCAAATGCCCGAGAGGGATTCACTCTCTTGGAACTTGATGCTAGGTGCGTTATCACGACACGGAGATCTAAACGAGTTGAAGCATCTTTACTGTTCGCGGCAAGAGGATGATGCTGTTGCATCGACGATAATGTTCTCGGCGTATGCCCGAACTGGGCATATAATAGAAGCGCTAGAAATCTTCTCTGGATTAAGAGAAATCAATGTTATTTCGTTTAATGCAATGCTAGGTGCTTGTGCTCAGAACTATTATTTAGAAGAATGTAAGTATCTTTTTGATTCCTTCAAAAAACACGACATTGTCTCTTGGACAAGCTTACTTACAGCATATGCCCAATCCGGGCATTTTGATCAATCAAAGAGTATATTTGTCAGCATGCCAGAATGGAACATGTTTTCTTACAGTTTGATGATAAAGGTTTTGGCACAAAACAGGAAGTTGGAAGAGGCTAGAAATTTATTTGATCAATCTTTGGAGAAGAGCATTGTCTTGTGGAACGCCTTGATCTCCGCACATTGCCAGAATGGTCAAATTCTTCTAGCAAGAAAGCTCTTTGATTCCATGCCGGAACGCGATTTAATCTCGTGGAATGCGATTCTGGCGGGTTTATCCCAGACTTCGAATCCACAACACGCGTTTGATCTCTTCCATGAGATGATCTTTACAGAAACACCAGACAAGACGTCCTTCGCAAACATTCTTGCGGCGTGTGGCAGTGTCTTTACAGCTCGGAGCTTCTTCCATTCCATGCTCTCGGATTTTAACATCGAATCCACGAAGATCCACTTCTCAGCCATGATTAATGTGCTTTGTCAAGCTCGCTACTTCTCTCACGCGCGAGAGCTCATGGAAACCATGCCCTTTGTACCCGATTCTATCGATTGGATGTGCTTGAGAAAATCTTTAGCCTCTTAGATTTATTTCTAGGGTTTCTCGGGTTAGGGTTTTTGGGGCGAGGGGCGAATCTGTGCATGGCGCGTCTGCGATCCTCCGGGCCTGGAATCCGGTATGAGAATGGGACTAGGGAGTAGAATCTAGGCGGTGAGCACAGCAGCGGGTGTTCTCGGGTCCGGGGCTATGGACGAAGACGACGATTTTGGAGATCTCTATGCTGGATTGGGCGGGAGCGGCGACGCCGAGGCCCCGCGCGCTCCAGCGGCAGCTCCAGCGCCTGGATTCAGCTTGGAAGAGGAGGACGAGGACGATTATCCTGGCTTTGGCGGGGATGATAGCGCCAGGGCCGCCGCTGGAGGTTCTTTAAACAATGGGTCGGCCAAAGGAGCTGGTAATCGGGGCGAAGAATTCTCGGACGACGAGTCCGGAAGAAATGCTGCCGAGGGGTCCGAGAGCGACAGTGACGATGATCTCCAGATTGTGCTCAACAATGTCAAGCGCGCTCCTCCAGAGGCCGAGGCTCCAGCCCTGGGTGAGAGCAATGAGGAAGCGGAAGAAGTACCGACCGCAAACCAGCCCTGGTTGGACGAGCAATCCACTCAGTCGGATCAAGTTCCACCGTCGCAGCCGCCTCTCGGAGTTCCTCTGGGAGGTCCTCCTGGGATTTTGCCTCCTGGTTTGCTGCCTGGCGATCAAGTTGGTGCTGCTAGGCCACCTGTGGTAAATCCTGGTGGTCCTCTGCGCCCGCCCGGGAAGTTTATGCATCATGCACAGTTCAAGGTACCTCGTTTTTTTCTTTTCTTTTGTTTGGTTAGCAACCCTGATTGTGATGCGCCATTGAACTGCAGTATGTGCGAGCTCCAATGTCTGGTCCTGCCATGAACAGTGCCCCTGGTCCGGGACTGGGAAGAGGAACTTTTCCTCCGGGTCCTTGGGGTCCTGGAAAGGGACCTCCGCTTCTTGGTTCTGGTCCGTCAAGGCCTTGGTCTGGTCCTAGTGGCTATCCGCATACAGAGTTTCATCTTCCCCCAACCAAGTAAGCTAAAAAGTACGTCTAATGTGTAAGCTTCTTTCTTTCCCGGAATGTCCAGGACTGTTTTTGATATGGACTTGGATGCTATGGACGATAAACCATGGAGGAATGTTACTGCGGATATCACTGACTACTTCAATTTTGGCTTCAATGAGAATTCATGGAGGCAATATTGTCAGCAACTGGTATGCTATAATTCTCCTCGCATTTTTATCTCAAGGTTGACTGCAGAGTCAACTTCGACTGGAGGCTACGATGCAAAGCAAAATCAGTGTTTATGAAAGTGGTCGTTCGGAACAGGTGAATACATTCTTTCTACGCGAATTTTTTTTAACATCGTTGAAACAGCCAATTGGTCGTGCAATTCAAGTGGAAGGTGGAGTAGGAGAGAGGCGACCATCCTACGATCTTAGGCGTGGCAGAAATCGTGACTCTAGTGATATTATAGAGGTGAGTGTTTTCGGCAGGATTATTCAGGCTAATTTGTGACTTTGCAGATAGTCTTGAAAGACGTAGAAGTGGAGACCCCCGTGCCTTTTCTTGATCGAATGGACATGGGTGAGAGTGATTACGACATGGGCCATGAACAAGATGGGCCAGACCCGCGGGCAGGGCCTCTGTTGGGAAGAAACCCGTATATGGATGCAGAAGTTCCTCCTTTTTTTCCAATGGGAAGACCGCGAGGTCCATACCATCGAATGTTTCCGGGGGGCTTTGGTGGCAGGTGCGCTTTTACGTTACGTTTTCTGATCTTTAAAACATGATTGTGCAGGGGCGGAGTCATGAGGCCGCCATTCTACGAGCCTGGAATGCCTCCACTCCCATTGCAGATGCGGCCAGAAGGATTTTCAGTTGGTGCTCCTAATGATTTTAATGAGCCAAGGTAGGCTTAGTTTTCTGTTTGTAATCAAGGTCTGAGAGCACCTTTTACTGGTTTCAGGAGAGCATCAAACAGAAGTTCGCAGGGGCGCGCGGGACTAGATGACGAACATAGCAGTGGCAGTGTTGCTGTCAAAGACGACCGCAAGCATGCAGATAGCAGGGATGCGAAGGATGACAGACGTTCGAGAGGCAGTCGAGATCAGGCGAAGACTGAGGACGAAGAGAAGTCTGATGAGCACAAGAAACCTCTTTCTGAGGACAAACATGACCAGGGACGGAGATACTCCGATTCACGTTCACAAAAGGAGGGGCACAAAAAACCGAGTGAGGTCGAGAGGTCCAGCTACAGTGATGACGAAGATCACAAGTCCAGGCATCGAAGTCGCAAGGAAAATAATGGCGAAGGAGACCGGCACTCATGGCAGGCGAAAGCTGCCAGCGACGACAAGTACAAAAGATCGGAGCGAGGGGAAAAAGATCAACGGAAGGATGAGGACTGGGCAAAAAAATCTTATCGAGAACGGGACGACGTGAGGTGGAAGGAAGAGGAAGCTCGAAGGTCGAGAGGGAAGGAGGAAGATGTCTCGCGCAGCAGCAGAAGGGAAGACGAAGGACGGAAAAGAGACAAGGCAGAGGAGTACCATCCCCGGAAGGACAGGGAGGAGTCCTGGAAACGGGACAGAGACCGGGATGACCCTCAGAAGCGAAGGTCTGCTTACGACGACGGCTACGAGAGGAGGGACAGAGAAGAAGACAGGTACTCGGATCGGAGCAGACGCCATGGTTATGAAGAGGAAGACGAGTATCTGCGCCGGAGAAGTAAGCACTCTGATCGGAAAGACTATCGCGACGAGGAAGAGTACTCGTACGACCACCGCGGTGGAAGCTCTCGTGGCGGACGAGAACACTCGGATGATAGATACAAGGAGGAAGAGCGGGTGTACAGAGACAAGTATGGATGGAGCAGCAGAGGCAGGGACGATAGCAGCAGGCGAAATGGCTCGACTTCCGACTACTTGGATGAAAAGGAGAGGAAGAAGCGGAAGACTGATGATTATCAGAAAAGTGTCCATGCAGAGAAGGTACTCGTATCGCCTGCATGAAGCTGATCTCCCCCTTGGCATCGTCGGTTATATACTTTTGCGATTTCGTTTTCTAGCTGACTGCCTGTGTATGTACATATGATGCATTTTGATCATGCTAGGCAGGCAGGCAGCTTTCTTCTCTCCTTTTTTTTTCATACGGCTAGGCAGGCTCATATATGTTTACGTGACTGGCGTTTCTGCCTTTCGTCTCTAATCGTGACTCTTTCAAGCTCAGATGAACTGATGAAACCGGAGACTTAGCCGAGGGTGTTGGTTTGATTGATGGATTTTTTACAGGTGCAAGCCAGAGAGACCACCGAGGACGAGGCAGCCGCGGCGGTGACAACGGTGGCACACGAGAAGAAGCGATCTTCCAGGAGCGAAGCTCATCACGGCGGCCGGGGAGGAGATGACAGTTACTACTCCGACGAGGGGGATGACGATGATAAGCACAGGAAAGGCAGGTCCAAGATGGAGAGGCTTAACAGGGAAAGGCCGACGATCGATGATCAGGAAGAGAAACTTGGGAAGGTTGCTGCCAGGTCCCAGGATCCAGTGAAAGGATCCGCGACGACTCTGGCTGGATCATCGGCAGCGAGCAGTGGAGAGAAGCCCAAGCAAGAAGTGGATCCATTCGCGAAGAGGCGCGAGAGGTTCCAGTCGCAAAAGCCCGATAGCTCCGCCGAGAAGACGAAGAAAACCAACGACAAAGCTTCCATCCAGGCCGATACGTCGGAGTTTAAGCACGAGAGACCGGCGAGGAAGCGACGTTGGGCTTAGCGAAAAATCGGGCCAACCTTACCAATGTATTTATTCTTTGCTAAAGTTTTTTTGCTTGATTGATCTGATCGGACGGCTGATATTCTTGCTAACGTGGCGGTTTACTGGCCGTCCACGTCATTGTGATCGAGATCATTATCTGCATTTCTATGAGACCACGTCACCCAAGGGGAAAGTAATATTACAGGATTTTTCTAGCACTAGGGTTTTGCGCTTCGATCGAGAGGTATGGCGCATTCTGGCGAAATATCGATGGCGCCGACCGAAATGTCGATCGATTTTTTGCAGGAGTTACTGTAGATCGAGAATCGAGATGACTGCCGCTCAGCTGGGAGAGTGCCTGTCCTACGTCGTTTCCAGGTCTGGAAAGGTCCTGGATTCGTGCGGCCGGGTGTTACAGGAGATTGTCCCTGCAAATGCTCCAGATGCCGCTCGAGCGCTTCCACTGGCGTCGTTCGAGGGACAGCCCGAGAGTTTCTTCAATCTGGCAGCTATGGTGGTAGCGTCTGGGGACTCCATTCCTCCCAGCGCCGCCGCCAAAAAGAGGAAGTTCCATCAGCTTGCCTCTCGCAAGCCGGCCTTGGAAAACAAAGGCCAAAGGACTTGCGTGTGGGATGACGAGGTCGGTTCGCTTGAGGATGTTGCCCGAGCGATCTTGCGGAGGCAAAAGAGAGTGTTTGGACGGAAGAGCTCGCGCGGACACGCCGAGCGGCACCGCAGGCTGGTCCAGCATCTCAAAGTTGGCGTCTCTCAGATGTTTATCCTGCAAAGGTAAACGTTTTGCGTTTCTCTTTGAGCTCAGTAGACGCGCCTGAGAGGATGCTTTGCAGGTGGGAAAGAGGCTCGCGAGAGCTCCCCGCAAGGTGGGCGTCTTGGCTCTTGAAGATGTTGAGGAGGACCAAACCACCTCCGCAAGCTTTGCAACGCTTTCTTTTTACCGCCATAGTCGCGATACTTCCCGTCATATGTTGTAGTCTTGTGTGCCAAACGCTTAACATCCTGCCTGACTCGGAGGTAAGCTTTATAGATCTTCTTCTCAACAACATAACTCATACTGTTAGTTTTTTCTAATGTATTTTACTCTCAGGTCCTAAAGTCTGTGGACATCCTGTGTAGTGCACTTGAGAAGAGCTGGGCGTGTTTCTCTCCTTTCCAGTGGGAGATTCTCGAAGAACGCATATACCAGTGCAAGCAAGTGCGACAAAAGGCAGGGACATGGCTGGAGAGACGGTCAAAACCACGAAACAATCTACCTCTTCTCGAAACGAGCATGGTAACAACTGTTCTTTAATGCTCTCTTGGGTTTGAGCACGACTTGTTTGTTGGCAGCCCATGCAAAGTGACAATCAGCGTGCCAGAAAAGCGGATGATCCGTCCTTGTCAAGTTCGTCCGATGAATACGCAGTTTACAACGACGAGAAATTGAGTAACGAGTTGGTGCTGTCCGAAGGAGTGAATGCGCTGGTTGGTAACATTAATTACCTGGAGTGGAACTGTATGCCTGATTCATATCACATTCCTTCCGAGCAGGTTCGACGGGCTCTGCGCGAACGACAGATTCTACCTTCTTTCAAAAAGAATCCTGCTCCTTGCATCGACGCTACTGCAGTACCCGGTAAGAGTGTCTTCCTCTCTTTTAAATATCCCGATAATTCTATGTCCTGTTTTACAGTCTCTACGCAGTGCCCATTATCTGGGTCGCGTTTAAAGGTGGATGGAATAGAAGTTTCCTGGAAAGAGTTTTCGTAATTAACAGTGATACTGTCTCCAGGTCCCTGCACGAGGAATCTCATGCACGCACTTAACTTGCTTTGACTTGGAGTGCTACTTGAAGGTGATTATATTCTCGATCGCTAACATGTGTTTCCTGACGTACGCTGATGGCATAATTTTCAGGAAAATGCGGAGCTTGCAGCTGGTATTGATAAACAAACAGAAGCTACAATGTGGCGATGTCCATATTGTGGCTCTGATGCCACTTGGCCCCAGATCGTAGTGGACGGCTTTATTTTAAGGTGAAGTTGTCGGCTTGTCGCAATCTCCTCCCCCAGATTTTCCCAGATTTTTTATTCGCTGTGTTTGTCATCGTTCAAACTACCTGCTCACTGTTTTCTATCTCCAGGATACTCAAAGCGTTGCCTGGCAATATTCCAGCGGTTTTAATCTGGCCAGATGGAAGGTGGGGTGCCATGGACACTGTTCCCGTCGAGAAGAAAGAGAACTCGAGTGGCAACGATAACAATCACGATGACTATCACACTGGTCTGTCACGCGTTGGTACAGCAATGTCACAGCAACAGGGGCGCAACGTCAAGCCACGCCTGGACGAGACGGACGAGTCAACGTGGGACGTGAAAGACGACAGATCTCGGGGAAGCCGTCGGCTGGACGGTGACGTATCAGGAGACGAGGCCTCGTGTGACCGAGTTACTTCCTCGGCTGGCACTTCCAGCAACAAGTCGGACAATGAGCGGGCTGGAGGACTAAGTCACGATGATGCAGCGATGAAAAATGGTGCCGCGGTTGACTTGCCTGCTGCTCCGAGCAGGATTCTCCCGGTTCTACTCGAGATCAACCTCCAAGATCTGATCAAGAGCACGCTGAAAAAGGCCAGGTCCAACGAGGCAGCAGAGGCCAGCGAGCAGGGATTAAACGTGTGTGAGGGACAGCGAGGTTGCTTCAAGCCCATCGTGACGCGCGTGGAGCCTTTCAGCGTGTCTCGGGGCTATGGCTGATAAAAAATACTAAATGAGGAGGGAGTGTGGTACCACATTGTTTTTAATGCTAACCAGCTGGTTGGTTCTCGGTGTGTTTTTCTTCTATTTTTTTATGTTTGGTGCAGTGGAGTGTTCCATGGGAGGAAGTCTGCTGCCACAAGGTACAAAAACATTTCGTTTTTTTATCTTTTCTTCTGAGCTTTTCCATCGTTAGAAAGCGTTGGCCTCGCTCAGCTGGCGGAGGAGCCTGCCACTGATGTGATCAGCCATCAATCGATCCAGTCCTCCGACGAGCTTTCCCCCAACAAAAATCAGAGGTATCGGCTGTTTACTCCCTGCTAAGTTCGCTAAAAGTCTTTCTACCTCTACTCCATCCTCGCAGTCGGTATCGATATCAAACAAAGTGGGACAAACTCCCAGCTTGGAGAAGAGCTCCCTCACAACCAGGCTCACGCAGCAAGAGCTTGCACAGATGACAAGCACGGGGCACTGGTGGATGAGCGTGTGAAGCAACTGTGGAGTCGTGTGGAGCTTGGAAGTCACCTCTTCCGGGCTTGACGCCGACGAATCAAAGCTAAAAGCCATGATGAGCGAGACCGTTGCTGCTGCTACTCGAGAAACGCATTGTCCTCCACTCCAAGATTGGCAATTCACAGGCGGAAGAACCGGATAGATGAGATCAAACGAAGAAATCTGGAGTGAAGCAGCCGCGCAAGTGAAAGGAAGAGAGGGAGAGAGGGATCCAGACAAGGGGAAATATATGTGGAAGTGGGGACGGGGGATACTTATTTATATGGCCCTCGGGGAGGAGCTTTGCTTTGGAAGTTCCAGACTTATTGACGTATGGATTTTGGGGAAGGCAAGGGAGTCGTTTGCGATTGGTGGTGATGTCATGCTCTTGTCACACACTCGTCATTGCTTTGGAGATCTTTTTTCAAACGACAGCATGATGAAATGCAATTTACGTAAATAAAATGCTTTAATCATGCTTTGCATCAAAATAATAATGCAATAAGTTATTTAGAGATAACCAAACCAAAGATATCCGATGATTTGTATAACACCTAGTTTACTAATGCATGTTTATAATTTAGTCAGAACCATTACTTATTCTAGTAAAAATCATGAAAAAATCTTATAGCTTAATTAGGAACGATTATGAGGATAAGATAATTGATCATACTAAATTTAGTTTTTTCTTCATTCTGTTTAGGTTTCAATCGTGGCAAGGTATGTATGTATGAATGAGAATTTCTTTGCTAAGGATCTTCTAATCTCTATTATTTAGTAACAATGTACAAGAGTATAATTCACAGCATAAATTCCAAGATGAAGAACCCACAATATGCCCTCGTTGCAGCTCAATTGACACTAAATTTTGTTATAACAACAACAAAAAGGCCTCACAGCCGCGATATCGATGCAACTCGTGCAAACGGAAATTCACCAAAGGTGGCAGGATTAGATTTGTACCACCCAAGAAACTGGAGAGGCAAAGGGGAACAGTGAGTAATGGCACTAAGTCCAGAAGCAAGGGTTCCAGGATAAAATCTAAGCAATCCTCCAGGACTTTATCCAAGAATACTACAGTTGTGTTAAGTGTCTCGGATGAATCTGAGGATGAAACTTATCTTGAGGAAGAATCCTTAGAGGAAGAAGATGAAGATGAAGAGAGTGATAGCCGGAATCAAGCTAACAAGAAAATAATCAGGAGAGAAAGAAAAGATTATCAAGTGGTAAGGAAGAATTACAAGCCCTTAATAACTGCTAAGGAAATTAATTTTGCTAAATCTCCTTGGTATAAGGTTGCATTTAACAAGATCAAGAATGCCATTCTAGATGGTTATAATGGCATTGTTTATTGAACCAATAAATAAATTATTATTACTTCACATATATTTTTTTTCTTTTGCTCATATGCGTGTGAGTTAAGTATATGTCACTTTTGAGGACGCGTTCTTCCTCGTGCCTACTTTCTTTGCCTCACCATCTGTGGCTTGTTTGCGGGCTCTTCGGTTTCGACAGGTGACAATCTCGCCATCTTCTGGGCGATCGATCGTGTGCTCTCGGCTCTTGGGACTGTTGAAGTCTTTGACAGCTTCGACTAGTGGTGATCCAGCTTTCCTGCCCGCCATCGTGTTAAACTATTTCCTCGCTCACTCAAAAAATTCACGGGGTTGACAGGAACACATAGCCCACGGGATTTTTAGGCTCCAGATAAAAAGCCATAGCTCCAGCGCGAGCTCCTTGCCCAAATTTCTTGTAAAGTTTGCATGACCATAGTAAGCTCCTCCAATCCACAGCATCCGGCACAAATGGCATGGTGGCCAGCAGCTCTTCCACCTGTTCCAAATGCCCAGATCGCCCAAGCAAGCTGGCGACGCAGCAATAGTGCTGCTTTGACGGGGTCAACCAAAAGTCCAGGACCATTGACCAGAATCGGGCTCGTGCCGAGCTCAGGCCGCCCAAGTGAGCGCTCGCGACGAGCACGCAAGTGAAGGAGATCTCGTCCGGAGCAAGCGTTGATCCCATCTCGTGGAAAAGTTGGAGCAGAAGTTTGTGATCTTCCAGATCTCCGTGACGGGCAAATGCCGCAAAAATGACATTCCAAGAGACCAGATCACACCCCGGCATTTCATTGAAAAACGCAACTGCCCTTTGCAATGGCGAGTTTTGGGTGTGCGCCGACAGCATCGAGTTCCACAAAATCATGCTGCGGTCTTTGGCAGAATGAAAGAGAATCTCGGCTTCGGTGAGCTTGGCCGCATGAGAATATGCCGTTACCATGGCCGTACAGGCCACGGCATCCCACATTGCCATCCGATCAAAAATCCTCTTCGCGTCGTCTAAACACCCGCTTAGCACAAAACCGCCCAGCAAAGCATTCCACGTAACAATATTCCTCTCGTGCATGGTATCAAACTCATGCTTGGCAAGTTCCAGATTCCCAGCCTGGGAATATGCGGCCACCATGCAAGTACCAGATACCACGTCGTGCTCATGCATTCTCTCGTACAAACGCGTGGCTCGCGGAATATCCCCGTTCTGGGCATATGCTGTAAGCATTGCAGTCCAAGAAACAATGCTGTGCTCGGGCATCAAAGTTTGGAACATTCTCTCAGCTTCTGCCAGATCGCTTGCTTGAGCGTAAGAAGACAAGATCACGGTGTAGCAAACAATATCTTTGCTTTTGATTGCTTCGAACACGCTCTGAGCTTCATGCAAATGCCCATTTGCGGCACAAATGCCGAGCATGCTCGTCCAGGCGACGAGATCGTGCTCGGGCATTGAGCAAAACAAATCTTTTGCTTCGCAATATGTCTCACTGGATCTTCCATAACCTTCGAGCAAGTACGTCCAGGAGACGAGATCACGCAGAGGCATAGAACAAAACGCCTGCTTTGCCTGCTGCAGATGCCCACAAGTGGCAAATGCACCAACCATGGTAGACCATGCAATTAAATCCTTTTCTGGTATCTTGTCGAATATCAACTTAGCGTACTCAATATTTCCGTGCTTGGCATAGACACTTAGAATAGCCGTCATTGAAACACTAGAGACATCAGGCATGGATTCAAAGAAGTCTCTTGCATATCCCAATTCCCCATTCGCGGTAAATGCAAACAGCATGAGCTCCCACGAGAAAGAGTTTCTCGAAGGCATTGCAAGAAAGAGGCGATGGGCGTCGCGAGCGCTGCCACACCTCCCATACATCTGCATGATGGTGTTGAGGAGGAAGACGTCGCACGGATCGAGCAAGTGGCGGATCCGAGCATGAATTTCCCTGGCGCCTGCGAGGGTGCGGCATGATTTGATGAGCTGCAACGCCGATTCCCTGTGCAAAACCTCTCGCCCATCGCCGTTTCTCCTCACAACATCATGCATCCTGCACAAAACTTAGTAAAGCTTAAAGTTAGCATAGTTATAATTAATACTTTAACTATAACCAACTATCATTGCAATCAATACTTTAATTATAATCATCATTGCAATTAATACTTTAACTTTAATAATTGGTATTTTTCATTTATAATTAAACTAATTAAAAAGGCACCTTTTAGAGAAAAAGTATAAATAAGTGGACCCAGAATGTGTTCACTAGGGTTTATTGCATCGTCATGAAGAAGGCGCAAGAAGCTGAGGGGTGGGAAGGGTTTTTAGCTGAGATGGATGATCATTTAGCGGCGATGGGCGAGAAAGATTTAATTTCACCTCCATGGGGTAATCAAAGTAAGTGGGAGGTGATCCCAACCATGCAAGATGTCATGCTCAATGATCTGGAGGACGAGGTCCAAGGCGACGAAGAGCAGTATGAAAGAGGTTTGGCTTGCCCTCCATGGGACCCGGAAGCTCTCAAAAGCTTCTGTGCCATGGACGACTGGTGTGGAAAGCCGGTGACGGCGAGAGTCAGGCCCAAAGAGCCCGCGAACAAGCCCAAGACTCCGAGCAATCCCGAGAGGCCAGAGCCTCCGAGCAAGCCCAAGAGAAAGAGCTCGAGCGAGCCCGAGACCTCGAGCGAGCCCAAGAGGCCAAAGATTTCGAGCGAGCCCAAGAGGCCCAAGACCTCGAGCCAGCCCAAGAGGCCAAAGACTTCGAGCGAGCCCAAGAGGCCGAGGAAGAACGCGTCCTCAAAGGTGACGCCCGAGCTGCGAGCGCTGCTAGCGAAGGTGAGGGCGACGCTGCCCGATCAAATCGACTGCCCGTGGTGTGGGGTCAAGTGGTACACGAGGTTCTACGATTTCAACAATAACAAGCCCGGGCAGCCCAGGTACCATTGTAACCCATGCGGGGGTACCTGGACCAAAGACAAGACGCCAAGGCCAAGGAGAAAGAGGCCAGCACTCTAGACGATCGATCGATCGAAATGTTTCTTCTCACCTTAGATCAAAGGAATCATATACAAACTTTTGCTTACACGCTCGCTCATCGCTCACGCTACGCTTATACGCGCTCAGCCCATGGCGTACTTCTGCGTCCAGGTTCGCGCAGTCCCCTCGTACTTTGCTCTGTCGGTCTTGTACATGTGAGCAATCTCCGGGACCAAAGGATCGTCGGGGTTTGGATCCGTGAGTAGCGAGCAAATCGACAGGAGCACCTGGCAGGCATCAAACAAATCCCTCTCTCCATCACAAAACTGAAAGCTAAGAGCTAAATCGAAGTGAGAAGAACCTTGGAGATCGTCAATGCGGGGCTCCACTGCTCCTTGAGGATGTCCAAGCAAATGCTTCCATTGCTGTTGATGTTTGGATGGAAAACCTTGGTTCTAAAGGACACCTGATAGAACAACAAAAAGCTTTAGTCGAAGAAACCACGAAAGAAGAAGATGTACTCGACCTTGGGAGGCTTGAATGGATAATCGGGAGGAAAATGGATGGTGACCAAGAACACCCCGCCAGCGTAAGGACTGTCGGGCGGCCCCATGATCGTCGCTTGCCAATGGAACATATCCTCCGCCACGGGCCCTGGAGTGACGAGATCCCTCGCAACAAGAATTCAAGCCCTGGAGCTCACACTAAACCCTAGAGTTTCGGTCACGTACCGGCACTGCACGACGTGGGAGGGTCCTTTTGCAAGTCCTTCAACTCCTTGAGGATGCGCTTCGACGCCATAGCCGATCAATCGGCCACCCACAGGCGCGCGAGAGAGCGGCGCGCCCCCGGAGAGACGATCCCTCCACGGAAATTCGTCGGCAGCGCGGCGCGCGAGCAGGGATCGTGGGGCGCGGCGCCACAATCACGCGCGCACCATAAAAAGATTGATGCGAACGAACCCTAGCGCCCCACCGCATTTTGGGCTGGGCCTTTTCGTTACGGGTGACACGTCACCACCACTTTTTTAGGGCTAGAGCTAGGGCTTCTCTTCTATTCAATTCAAACAGCGTAGAATATTCGTGTCGATTCGATTGGCGTGGTGGTACCTTGGAGATGGGGTCTTGGCTTCGTCGATTGGATGCTTTGTTTTTTTTCTTGTTCTTCGTCTTCTTGGTTGGATCGATCAGCCCATGGCGTATTTTTGGGTCCAGTTTCTCGCGGTGGCTTCGTACTTGGCTCTGTCAGTCTTGTACATGTGGGCGATCTCTGGAACCAGAGGATCGTCGGGGTTTGGATCAGTGAGCAGTGAGCAAATCGAGAGCAGCACCTGGGAAGAAGAAACCAAGATCGAGGAGTGATGGATTGATCGAGTGAAAAGCAAAAGCCAAGAGCTTTCTTACCTTGGAGATCGTCAATGCGGGGCTCCACTGCTCCTTGAGGATGTCGAGGCAGATGCTTCCATTGCTGTTGATGTTTGGGTGGAAGACTTTCGTCCGGAACGCAACCTACAAGAGAAAAAACAAAGGAATCACGATGAGATCACGAGTTTGAGTGTGATTCAAGCACTGCAGAGCACTGGAATGGAAAATCTCTAGCGCTACAAGAACCTTTGGAGGCTTGAATGGATAATCCGGAGGGAAGTGGATGGTCACCAGGAAAACCCCACCCGCGTAGGGACTATCGGGAGGTCCCATGATCGTCGCTTGCCAGTGGAACATATCCTCCGCGACAGGCCCTGGGAGAGAAGAACAGGAGAAATTTTCCACTCCATCACATAAACCCTAGAATCGCGAAGATCGATCGTCCGCTTACCGGCGCTACACGACGTGGGGGGATCCTTTTGCAAATCTTTGAGCTCCTTGAGGATGCGCTTGGACGCCATGGCGGCCGCCTCCAAAGATTTCGCCGCGCCGCTGAATCAAAACCCTGCCCGGCGCCGCGCAAGGGCGAGAATATCGATCGATCCGGGCGATCGGGTATGATCGCCGCTCCTCCGCCGCGCCGTGAGATCTGGGTCAAGAAATCCACGCGGAAGAGCATCTTTGTTAGCTCGGACAGTAAAGACGGCTGTGATACTTTCTATCGCCATTGCCAATGGGCCAATAAGCAAATTGGCCATTCCGGACCGCCGGGTATTTTCCCGGACCGGCGGTTTAAGTGCCAGGTGCGTAAGGGACCGCTGGTCCTGACCGGCAATAGCGGGTATAGTGCGTCGGGGACCGAGCCGGCCCGCTGGCGTTGATTGAGGCCGCCGCCGCGTCATTGCCACGTCACTGCATGGAATCTCCACGTCACTGCATCTTCCCATCCACGTCATCACTCGAAAAACGAGTGTTTTTTTATTTCGCTTTGTTCTTGGTGAGGCATTCGCCCAGCGTGACATGGCTGGGCACTTTCAATCCTTTCGATCCAATGTCTTGCAGGCCTAAATGGCCCAATTCGCAGTGTGGGCTGCAAAATCCGGGCTCCTCGCGCGCGTACAGCAGTGCCATTGATGGCGCGGTGGGCGTTTTGGCGGCGAACGAGACGCTGCCCTCGTCCTTGCTCTTGAGGAAGACGATGTTCTTCCCGTCCAGCTTCTGGAACAGCAGGCATTGATCCATCCTCTTGTTCATACACCTGTGGTGGGGCAATTAGAGCGATTTGTAGCCCAGATCGATCGATCACCTGTAGCAGATGATCCACGTGGCCTGGGTCTTGAGCGCCAGCTGCACCGCGACGTCACGAGGAGGGTAGCCCGATTCGATGATGATGTCCAAGCTCACCTGGAAACACCAATTGGAGCGATGGATCAAATCGATTCGATAGCGAATCATCATGAGTTCTTACTCCTTTGGTCCGGTAGGAATCCTGGATGCGCAAGAACTCCGCGGATTTGAGCTGGACCTCTCCTTCTCGGGTAGTGCACGACTTCTCATCGATCATGCGAAGCTCCGACCATCTCTTTACAAGCACTGTAGGTAGAATGAATCCAAAGTTGAGCACATTGGACTAATCTGACCAAGTGCGACTGGGTTGTAGAAACTTACGTGGAAGGCAGAGCCAAGGCAAGATCCCAGCGAAGGTCACCGTGTCTCCGGGCTTGGCGACGAGCTCCAGCGTCCAGGAGAGCGCATCGGTGTTTAGTTCCTTGGTGGCGTCTGCGAGGACCAAGATGTGTTGTGGCTCGCTCCGGGCGAAGGACGATGGATCGCTGCTGCGAGTGAGCGCGATCTTGACGCTGCTGGGGCTGCTGCTCGCGGAGAAGCTCAGGATTTTCTTCTGCGGCTGGTGGAAAAACACCCCGTGGGGCGAATTGATGTAGAAGAATGGACTGAAGGGAGATCGGTTATAAGGCGATTTGATGTGGAAGAATGGATTGGAGGGTGATCGATTGAATGCCGGAGTGGAAGGAAACGATCTCACACGTCTTTGATCGTGCGCTGCCACAATCGAGCTCATGGCAGAAGAAGAAAGAGAAGATCGAAAGAGAGAGAAGAGAGAAGCAAAAAGGAAAGCAATGACGGACTCCCCAAAACTTCAAGCTGTGGACGAAGCGCGAATATCCTTTGCCCGCTAAATCAGTTTAATGGAATATCTGGCCTGCTAATAGAACATTCTCACTTTACATTATTTTAACGAAATTTCCCTTTCGCTGACGGAACATTCTACTTTGCACAAGAAAACAAAAGAGTGTCACAGATAATATTACTTACAAGCCTGGAGAAGAAGCTAAAGAAACGAGTAAAGCAAAAAAAAGGCCTGCGAAATCTCGAGCTCGATCGATCGCCACCATCTTACCAGCGATTCCTCGAGGGCTGCTGCTGGTGATGGAACTGATAGCTCGATCGCCTCCCATTCTCCTTGCCCCATTCATCCTCGTGAACCGACGGAGTTCTCGGCCGGCTCCACATATCGGGCTGCGCGGACTTTGGACGATCGTCTCTCCAGCTCGGCTGCCTCCACTCCTCGTCGTGAAACCCCGGAGTTCTCGGCCTACCGCCATTCTCTCCTCGCCGATATCCTCCTCCCATCTCTCCACCTTCGTGCATGGAAGACGGTGTTCTTGGCCGCCTCCATCCTCCAGACGGCTCGAAGTTGCCACCGTCCGACATGGCTGGCGTCGGCGGCCGCCTCCAGATCTCCGGAGGACCACCGTTTCGATTGCTCTGCGACGATGGCGGCCTCTGCGGATCATCCCTGCCTCCGCTGCGTCGCCGGTCCGAGACGCGCGCGCTTCTCTCAAAATCTTTCACCAGCTGCTCCAGCTCCAGCTCCTTCTTTTCCAGCTCCTCTCTCGCCGCCTCGGAGCCCTCCTTGTCGATCAGATCCTTGAGAGCGTTGATCTCCTCCTTGAGCCTCGTCTCTTCTTTGCTCTCGTACCTGCGAGGAGGATCAAGCAAAACAGCCATGCATCACGTCTGGAAATGAGAATGTGGGAGAGAAACGCACCTCTTTTGATCGAGCTCCGAGTCAAGCTTTCTCCAGTCCTGTCCTCTCTCCTCGAGCACCACCTCTCTCGGCTTGGCAGCTCCGAAAGGATTCGATCGCGGCTTGGCAGTGGTGGTGGTGGTGGTGGTGGCCGAGTTTTTACCAGAGCCAACTTGAACTTGAGGAGTATCACCCGGTGTTCCTGGACGACTCGAGTGGCTGCTCAAAGGCCGGGAGGAATCCACCGGCAAACTTCTCGGCTGTAGATTCAGTCGCGGTCTCTCCATCGCCACCTTTCTCTCATCGCCTCCGCCGGACCATCTGTCCATCTCGGGCTTTGGATCTCGAAAAGACCACGAGTTCCTCCCACCGCCGCCGCCACCATCTCTCCCGCCATAGCCAAAGCTTCTCTCCGACGGGACAAACCTCTTTCCCGCCTTCCAGTCGTCCACCTCATCAGCCTTGCTCGGCGCGTCTCGATCGCTGCCCCGCGAGGAAGGCCGGATCATCATCGCTGGCTTGCTGGAGAACCAGTCGCTGCTCTCATCGGCTCGGGAGGGAGGCGGCGGCATGGCGGCGCCGCCAAAACCCGGATCCCTGGAAGGATGCCGGTCGCGCTGATCGCGATCGCCGCCACGGAAGCCACCATAGCCCCGGAATCCACCGCCGAGGCGCTGCTCGGAGAGCTCCTCCGGAGTTCGCTCCTTGGGGCCAGTGGGAAGGAACATGAGCTCCTCGGATGTGAGGCGATTGCTATCCGACATGAAAATCTGGGAAGAGGAAGGGGTGAATCGCTTCGCACCTGGGCCGACGACCTTGCCAGTCGTGAACGCCGCCAGCGTCATCGTCTGACCCTTGCTCTTCTTCTTGCCGCCGCCGGCGCCGCCGGGCTTGGCTGCCACCGCCAGGGGTGGAAATGCGTCCTCGGGCATCGCCCCTGCCACCGATCCGCCCCCCGCCGCCGCGGCCGCCTCGTCCGCCGCCTCGGATTCGTCCGCCCATGAGCTCACCCAAGCCATAGCTTCCTCCTTTAGGGCTAGCTAGGGCGCACGGAGCTAAAAAAGGTAATGCCAGCTAAGTAATAAAGGTTAAAGTCCACTTCCTCCATTTTTAACTTTACCAACTCGGATAACTCTTCTGCCTACCTAGAGTCTTTGCCCTAAAAGAATCTATCAGACAATGATGCGCAGGAGAAATGCCATTCCTTGCCAGGTCTGTGACATTACAATCCATCTGTGAGTTGTCATGGGGCCTACGTGGCTCGTGCAAGGCCTCAAGGTGGACTTAAACAATTGGGGCGAATTTTACTCGCCACACCAGATCGATTGGAATGAGCTCCTCCTTTTTGAATAAACATATATATAGTGGTCCTCCAGCCTTTAGGTCACTTTATTTTGCCACCTTTTTGTAAACCCTAAACCAGAATTTTGGGTCAGAGGCTCGAAGCCCCAAATCTTTTCAAAGCTGTGGGGAAGTTGACGGAGGGTCGGCGTACTAACCAGCGAGAGACGAGAAGTTTTGATGTATGGATAAATGCAAAATTTCGAATGCCAGGAATCTTCTAGCAGAGACAGAGATGTGTAGAAAAATAATATTGAAAAAGTAAATAAATAGTAAAGAAAAAAAGAGTATTAGTTGTTGAGTGAGTACGTTGCTTGCCTGGATGGAAGTGATCGACGTGTACATGAAAAAGCTGGACGTGTATGTATGTACTTTTTTAGTGTAGAAAAAAACTTGGCACCAGTAGAGCAGCACAATCATGTGCACATTTGAAACTCTACGTACGCCGATCCAACGATACAACAAACAAAACAAACCTCCACAATCTCAATCTCCAAACCATGAGATCATCTGAGAAACTATTCATAGAAAATATAAAGTGAGAAGAAGATGGTCCTCACAACATTAATGAGCATCCGTCGAGCAACTGTCCCACTGACTGTCATTTTGGCGTTTTGGCATCTTCAATCCACTCGCGCTTTATAACCCTGCGCTCGCGAGAGGCTTGGCTCCATCTCCATCGCTCCAAGTAGTAGAAAGCTAAGATCCAAAAGAAGAGAGAAAGATTTGGAGAGCTCTCTTGTTCTTTCTCTCGCGTCGTGACACCACAAGAGTCCACATTGTTTTAATCTTGCGCCAAGCAACAAACTACGGTACAAGCCCAGGTGACAGCCACCACCGATTCGATCATTGTTCCAACCTTGAGAAATCAAGGAGTTTGTAAGAACTTGTGAGAGCTATGTCTAGCTATGATGATCATCGATGTCGCTTTGTCAATGGCGATCAATTCCAGTTCCTCGACTATAGTTTCCAGTGCTTTGATCGCCAAATGTATGATCGTCAAGCCTGGAAAGATTTGGCAGAGTATGCGACTAGTTGCATCATCGCCGGCGACGAGAGAGTAGAGGACAATTCCAAGATCATATCATCCTTCACGCCAAGTATGGATTTCCCACACTGCTCCAGTCTTTTCACTTCCAATCCATCACCCAGCGTCGATAGCAGCAGCTACAATCAAGCCTCTAGATCACTACATTCCCCCGACAGGAGCAAGCCCATCACGCTACAAACTCCTCCACTCGATCATCGCCAAGAGGAGCTCTTCGTCTTTGGAGCGAGCAGTAGTAGCGGCGCAGTAGCAATGAAGAATCTTTTCTATGCAGCTTGCAAGCGCTCGGCGATGGCGGAGGAGGAACAACGAGAAGAGGAATCGTGGAGCAAGCCCAAGAGGAGGAACACGAGGATTTCCAAGGATCCACAGAGCGTGGCGGCGCGGCACCGGCGCGAGAGAATCAGCCAAAAGATCCGGACGCTCCAGCGACTGGTTCCAGGAGGCACAAAGATGGACACCGCCTCGATGCTGGACGAGGCCATTCACTACGTCAAGTTCCTCAAGACCCAAGTCCACTCGCTCGAGCTCCTCGGGTTCCACAGCCCACTAGCAGTCGCTCCTCCGGCAAATCCCTCGAGCCACTTTCCACTCCCGATCGATCGCTCGCAGATGGCGTCGTGCTCTTCGTCTCGGTTCTTCCCTTCGATCGATCACAGCAGTGATATCGAAAGCCAGCACTTGGCTTATCGTCACCAATCCCCATAGCTGTCCAGACATTCCAATCTCGAATCTCTCGAATCGAAAATCTTAGCATAACAATAGCGATCGTCGCTCTCGATAAGTGGAAGAGAAAGCCAATCATGGACGCGTAGAATAACTTTAGAAGCACTCTCGAGTGCCATCGATTAAAGTCTTTCCCTGCAGCAAATGCCCAGTCCTGGCAAATGCCGCTTTGTTCTTACAAATGTGCCCTTTATAGGCAAATGCTAAATAGTTTGAGATTTACCGCACAAGATCTTACTGCGATGACATTTTAGAAAATCATGGATTTTAAATTAAGATGCTATTCATGTTTCTCACATGCAATCCAATTCACAGATTTTCTCCTGCGCGAATTCCTCGAAACGCTAAATAGGAGCCCTAAAATGTTACGTTTGAAATTTTCCCGCCTTACCTCTGGAGGTTGCGGGGTCGATTCGCGATAGGATTGAGAATTTTTGGCCACAAATTTCACGCTCGACCTAAGTGGGAGGCGATGCATTGGAAGTTCTTCTTCTTCGATGGCGATGGCGATGGGGAATGCTGGATCAGGAGTGAGTCTTCAGCTGGAAGCTGTGAATCCGGGTAGAGATGGGGCGTTTCTCGAGGAATGCGGCTACTTCGCAGTAAGCTACCCTGTTCCTGGGGCTAGGTCTGTCCAATCTTGCCGAAAGGGGCTACAGTTCAGGCAGATTTGCGGCAGAAATGGAGGCCGCAGGGAGAAAATCCAGAGTAGTGGAGCAATGGACTGGATTATCAACGAGCTCTACAATCAGCACTTGCGAGAGGAGGCAAACAATGCTCTTCACGAGGCCATCGCTTTGCTGCGAAGCTCAGGAGAGAAGGAAAGCCGCATTTGGATGGAATTTATACACGGGAACTCTCCGGATTTCTGGATGAACGAGGTTACTGTCAAGCAGGAGATCGAGCTCTTTTCTGGAAAGGAGTCCGTGATCAAGCTGGTTGAATTGAGAAAAGGCCTTGGATTCTGGGACCTTGTGGGATCTTTCATCCTATGGTTGAGACATCTCCAGGAGCAGCTAATGAATCTGAGGCTCGGTGTGGCTTGCTCCAAGCGATGGAAAGACTTCCAAGCGGCGTACATGGCCAGGATCCAAAGAATTCTGGTGACGGACTTGATCTCGAGAAGAGTTTGCTGTCCGGCCAGCATCATCTACAAGAATTTTGAAGAGCAAATAAGCTGGAGGAGGAGATCTGGAAGGAGGGGCGACGACGAGTGCTCGGACGCCGAGAAATACCATGTCGAGTGCAAAGTTGACGTGATTTCATGGCGAGAGCGATTCATCAGCGCCACCATAACCATCGAAGCTGATATAAACCGAGTGTGGGAAGTCCTCACGGATTACGAGCGGCTTGCGGAGTTTATTCCCAACCTCATTCACAGGTAACCGATCTCTCTCTTTGTGTTCTTTCGCTCATTTTCATTCCAGTGCAAGGATACCCTGCCCGTATCCTGGTCGGATTTGGCTGCTCCAGAGGGGCCTCCACACGGCAATGTACTGGCATATCGAAGCAACCGTGGTTCTTGACTTGGAAGAGTTTCCTCACTTGGTATGTCGTGTCTTTTGCGTACACATTGTCTTTAAAGCGTTTGTTTGTGCTTTTTACTTTGCAGACTGATGGGAGATCCCTCCAGTTCTGTATGGTTGACGGGGACTTTAAAAAATATGCTGGAAGATGGCTTTTGCAGGCTGGCACGAGGTAATACCTTTCTTTCTTATCTTCGAACTTTGCCTCAGTCCTAACGAGTTTTGCTGTCAGGCCGGGAACCACAGATTTGCACTATGAAGTCAATGTGATTCCTCGTCTTTTACTTCCTGGTGTTTTCGTGGAAGGTATTATCAAGTCGGATCTTCCGGTAAATCTGCGTGCAATTGCGGAAAGGGCAGAGAAGAACCAACGCTCCGTCATCAAATATCCTGCAGATGGCGGCATGTCGGTTGCCGCTCCAATTCACAGCATCGTGTCCAAAGTTACCCAATCCTCTGACACAAAGGTGACAAGCTTCGTGCAAACAGACGACAGGAAATATGCTCAGAGATGGGACAACGAGTCTGTTACCAAAGTCAAGCGTGTTTGCAAGTCTGACAAACAATGTACTGTCGATGAAGTGCATCTGAGACGTCTAAGTGAGGTAGGCCATGGTCGCGTGGAAGCGTATTAACTCAAGAAATCTTTGATTTTGTAGGAAGATGGGCGCTTCTGGAGAGTTGTGGCAGCTGTAACGATCGCAGGCTCTATGGAAGACGTATGGAATGTTTTGACGTCTTATGAGACGCTCTCGGAGTAAGACCCGGTCTCAAATTGTGTTTTAGCTCACACTCCGTCATTTTTAGATTTGTTCCGAACCTCAGCAGCAGTAAGATCGTCTCACGACACGGTAATCACGCTCGAGTGCTTCAGGTATAATTGTTTATCTAATATTTCCCAACGAACAAATTGATTACGGTTTGTTTTATGGACAGGAGGGATGCAAATGTTTGTTGTACATGGTTCTCCATGCTCGCGTCGTTCTGGAGTTGCAGGAGCTGCCACCAAACGAGATCACTTTCCAACAGGTAGAAGGTGACTTTGATGTGTTCAGTGGCAAATGGACTCTGGAATCCCTTGGAGCGGAACATACCTTGTTGAGGTACTCGGTGGACATGAAGATGCACAACGACTTTTTGCTTCCACGGGAGATCATCGAAGAGGTTTGCACGCCTTCCCTGTTTTCTGGAATGCTTTTTTCTATTATCTGTGTTACTTTCTTGGCAGATTGTTTACGAAGATCTGCCCGAGAACCTCTGTGCTATAAGAGCTCGAGTCGAGCTAGGTGACGGCTGCTACATTGCCAAAGAGAACGTGTCACCGCCACCACCGCCTCCACAGGTTCGAGAGCCCGCCGACGAAAGTTTTATGAATCCGAAGCGAAAGCCAGTGCCGGGTCTCCAGACGGACATCAAAGTTCTGGAACGCGAACTCGAGGGATTTGTAGCGAAAGCTGGAAAGGAGAGGGTGATGCCAGTGAGGGCAGAGCTCCGTAAGAACGGGCGTGTAGACTTGGAGAAGGCCATTCGTCGTTTTGGTGGATTCCGTTCTATAGCAGAGAGGCTCAACATGAGTCTCGCGTACAAGCGGCGAAAGCCCAGAGGCTTCTGGCAAAACAGTGAAAATCTTAAGCGAGAGGTAACAAAATTAATCTCTGTGATTGACTCGCTCGTGGTTTGACTCCAGCTCGAACTTCCAGATTCAGCTGTTCCAAAAGAAGCTCAGGAGTGATCCCTCAAGGATGCCGAGCAGGAGAACTCTAGAGCGCGCAGGTAGGAATCCTTATATAATGCTTGTTTGATGGACAAGTGATTGGACTCGTGGAACTTTTCTAGGGAGGTACGACATAGCCCGTGCTCTGGAGAAGTGGGGAGGACTACACGAAGTAGCAAAAGTGTTGAATCTCCAGACCAAGCGAAAGCGCTGCTTGGAGGAGCCAGAAGAAGGCTGGGAGGACTGGAGGCCACCAGAGAGTGGCAGCGGCAGCAGCAGCATCAATCCATCGCCAGAGAAAACGTAGGTTCCTTTGTTACTTGTTCCTTCTTTTCTCTCTCACACTTTGCTACTTTGTTTTTTCGTTCCAGGAAAAGTCCACACCTATAGCCCCGAAAGTCGACAAAAGAACACACACACAGACACAGGCGAGCGAGTAGAGAATATAAGCCCTTTGGAAGCGTGTTTTTATCGCCAGTCGCGCACTAGCGAGGTATAGCACTTGCGGGAGTGCTCTCCATTCTTCCTCTTTTCTCGTCTAAGATTCCTGCTTAAACCAGGCAAAGACGGCACAGCAGAGCAACAGAGCGCCAGGCTTTCCGCGAGGAAACAGGAAAGAGAAAGAAGGAAGTCTTTCTCCCAAAGAAGGAATCTATCCAAAAGCCCACCACCAATAGCTTCATCATACAAACACCAGCTGTTCCCGGGGCGAGCGAGTTTTTTATACAGCCCACGCCGGGGGGGGAGAAGAAGCTTTCAATCAATCAAACACATCCCTCTCCAAAAGCACTAAAAAAAAGAGAGAAGAAAGGTGGTGGTGGTGAGCAAGGAGTGTTTGCGAACATTTCTCCTGTAGTCTTGCGCGTGAGCTCTCAAACCAAACTGGAATTAATATCAATCACACTTCCACAACCAACAAAATATTAAACAAACAAGGAAAAAAAGTGGCTAACTTTCACAAACCAACACCTAAGATCAAAGACACAAACACAAACATAGAAATCAAACACACAAACCATAGAGCGCTCACACACAAACACAAACCTTTCTTTCAAGCTCTAGCGGCGTTGGACAAGTCCTCCTGCCTGGTGGTCTCCAGTTGGCGGACTCTCATCTGGAGAACTTTCATGTAGAGTATGGCCTCGTCAAGAACGATCGCCGGATCCATGCTATCACCACCCGGAACGATGCTCTGGAGCGCTTTCACCGTCTGCCGGATCCTCTCCTTGCGCTGCTTCTTCATCTCCTTCCTCCGCCTGACCACCAAGCTCCGCTGCCTCTTGCGGTTACTGTAGCTCGCCACGGCCACAATCGCCTCTTGCTCCACTGCACGGTTCGAGTTCTCGGCGTGGAAGCTGGACGTGATCTCGTCGCTGCTCTCGTCCCGGGTGACTTCACTGAGAGGAGTGTGGCCAGTGCTGCATTCTTCTTCTTCCACCTCCTCGAGGAGGCCCTCGTCGCCATCGGAGTATAGCAAGGCGTCGATGTCTTCCGAGTCCTCCTCCCGAACACTGCTTTGTTGCTCGTCGTCGTCGTCGCGAAGGTGGTCCCAGCTCAGCTTGCTTACGCTGCTGTCGGAATCCTTCACGTCCCCGATGTGGCAGAGAGTGACCGGCGCACTGTTCGTCTCGCGCATGCTGCGGAATGCTGCGAACGAGGCCATGGCCTCCCTGTATACCCGGTGGAACTCGCCAGCTTCCGGCCCCTCGTCGTTAGGAGTGCTGGGATTGAACTCGAAGAAGCGATTGGGCTCCAGCATGATGCGGCCCTTGTCACCGCTGCGGTCGAACATGATGAACCGTTTCTCGGTGTCTCCATAGACGTTGGCGAATTCTCGCAGTGCCCCTTGCTCCATCAAGAGAAAACTCCTGCTTTCCAGTCAGCAGTATGAGCTTAAGCGTCGCTCGATCACCCGGCTCGTGTTCGCAAACACTCGCTTTTCCCTCGAGCCGCAAGCTACGCTCACAAGTTGGCAGGATTCATTCGCAGCAAAGGCAACTTTTTCACAGCCTCACAGCCACTATCCTGGAACAAACCTTGTCATTCGAGAGAGAAGCCAAACATGAGAACTTACCAGTTGCCACTGCGAACGATTGCTTGATCCCGCCGAGCAAACTTTAGAAATTGGAAACTCCTGGCACCACTTCCATCTTCCAAAATGGTATCATCCTCCCACTCCCCTTACCACTACTAACACCTACTAGACTGGGGAACGCAGCAGCAAGCGGTTGTCTGGCAACTCTTCCACTTCATAAAAGCTCTGGGCTGCAAAGGATTGATTCCTCGCTACCACCGATTCCTACACCTACGTTATCGGTTTGAGCATAGAACGAAAGTATATGGCCTGGAAAACAGAGACAAACAAACAACCTCTTAGCTAAGAACGATGATAAGGCCCTGGTTCTTACCTGGCGTTCGTGGAGAGGTTCAAAGCAAGCGATTATACTCGAGGTAGACACTGGATGGGCAGCAAGCGTCGATCCTTTGCGTGGAGATGCCCCAACACTCTTTCCAGCAGCACTCTGGCCCATCATACTTCTCGGCGGCTCAAAGGTTGGTAGGCTTCCCTACTGCTGCGCTCGCTGCACTGGCTGGAATGGAATCTAGCTACCTAAACCCTGGACACCGGACGATTAGCGGCGCTGTATCAGATTTACGAGCGACGTTCCCATAGCTAGCACGAATCTTGGCCGGAGAGCAGCAACCAGAGAGAAATCCACACACTACGCACCTCCGTCGGGAGGAACCCAGCACAAGAGGGAGCTTCTTCGAGAGATTTGGAGCTGAGGAAGACGCATTCCGGCGATTGGCGTCCCAGGAGCGATATTTCGATGGAGCTGAAGCGAAAAAGAGAGCTCTAGCGCGCGATCGAGAGAGAAGGAAGGAAGAACACGCGAAGAGCCCAACAAAAAAACCAAAGAATGAGAACGCAAAAGCCTAGCGCTGGAAGAAAAAGGGCGGGCGATTTAACCCGATTGGATGCCGGCGCGTGAAATCCGCCACGGTAAAAACGAAAAACAAAACTACCTGTCCGTAGATTTCACAAGTAAAGTGACATGGCATGGGCATGGCGTATGGTGCCATTAGCATGACATGGCATGCGGCTGTGTGGGTTGGTTTGTCACATCACACGCGTGCCGCTTGACGTCAGCGCATGCCCATGATTGGTGAGACGCGCGCCCGTCAGACGCTGCTTTAATGACGGGCGTGACGCGTGGCCGCATCGTCTTGTCGAATTTAATGCCCCGGCGCAATCACGAGAACAAGGGAGAAAAAAAATAATCCCCAGACCATGTGTGTTTGTTCGCTTTTAGTGTTAATCAAAAGATTCCAGGTAGACAAAATATATCGCTTAAACATTGGGACGCAGACACACGCACACATGGTATGTCGTGGCTTGTGAGGGTCAATCGACTGGAATTATTATGCCCGGCGAATATCCCATCGCATGTTGAGAAATATTCCCGCCGCCCAGTGAATTAGGTTGCTTTGTCCTTTTGATGGAGAGAATCAATCACTCACGACCCATGCACGAACCCAAATGTTATTTTTCTTTACATGGGAATGGGAGATGCATAGCATGACCATGGTCCTCGCGCGCATTCATGACCAATACCCGTAAAGCGTACGTACCGGAGTGGCCCAAAATCTTTGCCGTATGCACGCTAATGATACGCCCAATTTGGTATATTACTCTTGTAAGGACGAGACCTAAATTTTATAAGTAGCAAGCTTTAGGCAAACCCTAGTTCTGTTGTACGCCACCTTTGCTAGCATTATTACAAAGGTGGTGGTGGGAAGACATGTCTCGCGGTCGCACCTATGCTAGTAGTTTACTAGCCCTAGTCATTGGGTTATTGCTAAGTACACACTATCTATCTAGTGTCAGCAATAGCTATCTAGCTACTTAGAAAATCATGATTCGTACCATCCGAAAATAACCCTCCTGTCTGTCGGATGGGTTTTTTTTTTCCCCTTAAAACCTACGTTCGTACGCCACGAGCAACCGGCTAACCGGCTGGCCACACAATTATGTCAATGCCGACGGCGCTGGCCCAAGAAATCTTTGCCGGTGGGCGCGTGGTACGATGCTTTTTACATATGGCTTTTACCGAGGCGCGGCTTTTACCTCGCGGTCAATGTCGCATGCCCCCTCCATGCATGCCGAGATTGCGACGGTTCAAAGCGAGGGGGGCATCTCTTTACCCTCCGGCATCCCGGATATCCCGGGGAAGGGGCACGCGTGCACGCGTGGCCACGTGGACGGCAGCGATGCCTGTGGACCGCCGGTCAATTCCCCGCTGCGGCCGGTCACAGCCATGGTCAACTTTATCACTCCATTGGGGGAGCGCAGCAATGATTTTGGGTGTGGTGTTTGATTCGCTAAAGGACCGTGTGTGATTTCCTTTAGCCCACCTTTAAAATTTTCTTGCTCTCATCTTCTTTGCGCTTGGATGGATGTTGATATTGGATCTGTCGATCCTGGCTGACAACTAGTACTTGGCATTCTTGTGCTTGGTTTTATTTGCTAAGATTTAATCTTTGCTTTAGATAAAGGGAGCGCGTTCTTCGCGCTGATACCTTGTGCGCTTGACTTGGCCTCCTGGAGCGCAGGGATTAGAAAAATGCCATTGCAAAGTGAGCACATTCCTTTTTGATATTGATCCACCAAAGATCGCACGAATCCCTCCCCGCCTATGATTCCGGAGCAACATCATGGTCCATGGGCAATAAATACCAAAACATTGTAAAAGCGTATCAAATTCCAGGCGGAGCCCCACCACCATCTAATCCAATGAACATGCCCCCACACAAGATTTGTTTACTCTTTCCCAAGAACGCATCGATGTTCCACTCGGAGGTCTTGCCATGTTCTTGGAATCCATAAACAAGCCTGGGAGAGCAAACGAGACACGCGAGAGCTGGTTTTTAGAGCCAAAGTCAATACCCGCAAATCGCACTGAGCCCACACTCACACACGAAAATCTTCCTCAGAGTCGCTGTCACTGGCGATAAATTCCACAATGCCACGAGAAGAAGGGATGAGAGACAAGAGACAAAAGAAAGAGATAATCGCTCAGCCGGCAGCACAACAAACGCAAGCTCCTTCTAAAATGAAATATCAACTTGGATACCTCTTCTGTCAAGCTGCTGAGATATCGTACAAAGCCAACTCGCTCAAAGAATCGCTACGTCTAGGAAATCTCCAATCTGTGAGAGACGTGCATTAGAATCAAGACCTTTCGGTTTTCTAGTTCTAGAAGAAGAAAAACGGAAAGGAGCCTACCTGAAACCCGAGATCCTGGAGCATCTTGTCATCCTCGTGGCCTCGCCTCATTGGATGGCTTGCGACTGTCGTTCCGACCTTGAGTTCATCAAACAGACGTTCCAAGTGAGAAACAAGGATGAAAAGCAAGGAAAGAAATTTGCAAGAGCCTGCTTAATTTTTGTTTTTTACTCACCGTTCGGACAATGTTTCGGCCCCTGCGATCAGGGTAGACAAACGCAAAAGATAGTTTCGCGTCTCGCTTTCGCGCAGCCGGAGCAACCTCTTTCACCTGGACAAAACAATGAAAAAATTCAGAGAAATACGCGCAACGAAGGAACCAAGGTCTAACCAGCTCTGTGAGCTCCCGGAGAGTAGCGTCCTTCCAGGTATAGATTTGGACTTCCTCCTTGGGCTCTTTCCCTCGCACTGCAAAATCTTCCACACTGTGATGCTCACCAAGCTGTGACGAAACACAAGGTTAAGCTACAAAAAAGAAGGAAAGAAAAAAAACACACACACACCTTTGTGAAGACCCTGAGCAAGAGCGGGCATGTCTGCAAAGAAAGAAAAAAATTTGATCAAGAACAAAGAAGAAACTTCCGCTAACCTTTTCACGGTCGACAGTCAAGCGCGGCAGTGCTCGCCCGGCATGCGGCATTCGTGGCGGCCTCGGCACTTCAGCTGGCGCAATCGCTGCCGCCATCGCTCCTCGCTCTCCCTGCAAACAAAGAATCAAGAACCCTAAAACCAAACTAGGGCAAACGATAACCTATTCCCCTCTTTCCCGCGGATGGATTCCATCGAGAGGCTCGTCGATTTAAACAAGCTCGTCGAGCGCTACGGAAAGCTCGGCGATTTGAGGCGCGCGCGCGAGATCTTTGACGCGATCCAGCACAAGAATGCCTTCTCCTGGAATCTGATGCTCTGCGCCTACTCACGCAACCATGACATTGAGCTCGCCAGGCGCGTTTTCGATGCGATGCCGGAGCGCGATGCCGTGACCTGGAATGCGATGCTCGCCGCTTATTCACGTGCTGGACATATCGATCAAGCACAGGAGATCTTTGATTCCATGCCGCAGCCAAACCTAGCCTCGTGGAACACACTCCTCTCGATGTATGCCCTAAGTGGGAGACTCGAGAGGGCTCACCACCTTTTTAACTGCATGCCGCAAAGAAACCTTATGTCGTGGACTACAGTTCTTACAGCATTTACCGAAAGAGGGCATCTTGATTATGCTGAAACACTGCTCCAGAAAATGCCCGAGAAAGATTTGATTTCATCAACGATAATACTCACAATGTTTGCAAAGCACGGTCAAATAGAGAAAGCTAAACATGTCTTTGTTGAGATGCCTCATGTAGACCTGGTTACTTTGAACACATTATTAACAGTAAATGCCCAATCAGGGGATTTGGACAAAACACGCAATGTGTTTATGTCCATGCCTGAAAGAGACCTTATTTCCTGGAATGCTATGTTGTCCGCCTATGGTCAACTTGGCAATCACGTAGGTGATTCCAGTAAATTCTTTAGAGACATGCCCGAGAGGGATTTGGTATCCTGGAATTCTTTGCTCGCAGCATACGTCCAAAACGGGCATTTTGACGATGCCTACGAAGCTCTCCAAAATCTTATGCCCCAGCACGACTGTGTGAGCTGGAGTACGGTCATGCACGGCTTTGTCCTGTACGGACAGCTGGAAAGGGCAGAGAATATGTTTCACGAAATCCCCGTGCAAGTATTAGCGTGCCAGAACTTGATGCTTTCGGCATACTCCCAGGCAGGGAGACTGTACGAGGCAAAGGAGGTGTACGACGCAATGCCGTACTGGGATACAGTCTCCTGTAATGCGCTGGTCACGGCATATGCCCGAAATGGGGATCTAGAAGATGCCAAAGGAATCTTTGATGCTATGCCTCAACGAGACATAGTGACATGGAATGCGCTCCTGACGGAATATGCGCAGGGTGGCCACGCGGAAGAAGCAGAGTGGCTTTTCCAGAAAATGCCGTACAAGGACGTGGTGTCTTGGAACTCTATGCTGGTAGTAAATGCCAATAGAGGAAATCTGGAATATCTCAAGTGGATGTTTGACGAGATGCCATTCTGGGCAGTGGTGACGTGGAATGTGCTGCTTGCGGGATATTCCCGCAACGGGTCTCTTGAGAACGCGGAGGTTCTGTTCCACAAGATGCCCCAACGCGACACAGTGTCATGGAACGTGATACTTTCGGCATATGCCCAAGCCGGGAATATCCTGTATTCACGGAACCTGTTTGACCGGATGCCCTCTCGAGATATCGTGTCTTGGAGCGCAATGCTCGGGGCTTATGCCTTGATTCGTTGCAGCCAAGAGGTGATCAACCTCTTTAACGATCTTAAGTCAACACGGTTTCCAGATGAGATTTGCTGCTTGTCGGTGTTGATGGCGTGCACTCACAAAGGCAAAGTTCACGAGGCAAGGTCTTGCATGGTGTCAATGGCGATGGATTTCGAGCTCAAGCCACTCAAGCAGCACTACTGCTGCATGGTCGACCTCTTGAGCCGGAGTGGATTCGTGGACGATGCGGAGGAACTCGTGGAGAGGATGCCATTCCAGCCGGATCTTTTAGAGTGGACTTGCGTGCTTGGTGCTTGTAGAAGTCAAAGCAATCTCATCACACGGGCAAATCGTGCGGCCGAGGAAGTTGCGAGTTGTGATCCAAGGGCTGCCACAGCATATGATCTCCTTGCAAACGCGTACTCCATGAGATGACAAGATGGAAGATCACACAAATGTATCCAATTCAAAGTTGAGAAGATCACACACCGCGTGGTCAACGAGGTCGCCCTTGTTTGACCGCCTTTTGTCCGTTGGATACGCCAGCCCTAAGATCAACGGTAGCGAGCGAGGGTTTTTTTTTTTTTCCTCTTCTTCTTTAGGGAAAGGAGGAGCTTGAGAGGTAGGGTTCGCGGAGATTCTTCGTTCGCGGCGCAGCAGCCGCTCTCCTTCTTCGGCGAGCGAAAATGTTTGGCCGCCCGCCCAAAAAGAGCGACAATTCCAAGTACTACGATATCTTGGGGGTTTCCAAGAGCGCCTCCGCGGATGAATTGAAGAAGGCGTACAGGAAGGCAGCTATCAAGAACCATCCCGACAAGGGAGGCGATCCAGAAAAGGTGAAAAAAAAACTCTCTTTGCATTGAAGGTAATCTTCTCTTTTCTTGTTTCCAGTTCAAGGAAATCTCGCAAGCATACGAAGTGCTCAGCGATCCCGAAAAGAAGGAGATTTATGATCAGTACGGCGAGGATGCGCTCAAGGAAGGAATGGGCGGTGGCGGTGGCCACAATCCATTCGATATCTTCGATAGTTTCTTCGGTGGCAAACCATTTGGTGGAGGTGAGCTTGGTACTTTGTGCTGGTTTGCGTGCTAACTCTTCTCTTTTTCTTTGGACTCTAGCAGGAAGCTCTAGAGGTGGAAGAAGGCAACGAAGGGGCGAAGATGTGGTGCATCCTTTGAAGGTTTCTTTGGAGGATCTCTACAACGGGAGCGTGAAGAAACTCTCCCTTTCTAGAAACGCAATATGCTCGAAATGCAAAGGGTATGTTTTTCTGAAGTGAAATTCGCTAGTGGATCTCATTAGAGTGTGATTTGCAGAAAAGGTTCCAAGAGCGGGGCCACGAGCCGCTGTGCCGCTTGCCAGGGATCTGGAATGAAGATTTCCATTAGACACCTGGGCCCGTCTATGATCCAGCAAATGCAGCACGTTTGCGGCGACTGCAAAGGAACAGGTAACAGTTTCTTTTTTGTTCGTTTGTTTCTTACTTTTGGTTTTCCTCGCAGGAGAAACCATAAGCGAGAAGGACAAGTGCAACCAGTGCAAAGGCAACAAAGTTGTCCACGATAAGAAAGTCCTCGAAGTACACGTTGAGAAGGGAATGATGCACAACCAGAAGATTACCTTCCAGGGAGAAGCGGACGAAGCAGTAAGTTCTTTTCTTTTTCCTTTTGATCCTATTCATCGTTTCTTGTCGTTGACGTGATCTTTCATTGTTTCTAGCCCGACACTATTACTGGAGACATTGTGTTCGTGATCCAAGTGAAGGACCACCCGAAGTTCAAGCGCAGAGGGGACGACTTGTTCTACGAGCACACCTTGACGCTGACTGAAGCACTCTGTGGCTTTCAGTTCATTCTCACGCACCTCGACGGGAGAAGCCTCCTCGTTAAGTCGACTCCGGGAGAGATCATAAAGCCAGGTATGCGTGCGGTTTTCTCGTGTCTAGTTTGAATGATCTTTACGATTCATCTTTCCTGGCACCACAGATCAATTCAAAGGCATTGACGACGAGGGAATGCCGCACTACCAGAGGCCATTCATGAAGGGCCGGCTGTTCATCCAGTTCCATGTCGACTTCCCGGATTCGGGGAGCCTTTCTCCGGAGCAGTGCAAGATGCTGGAGACGATCCTGCCTCCCAGGCCGACGAATCACCTGACGGACATGGAGCTGGACGAGTGCGAGGAGACAACACTCCTGGATGTAAACATCGAGGAGGAGATGAGGAGGAAGCAGCAGCATCAACAGCAGCAGCAGGAGGCTTACGACGAAGACGACGAGCCTTCGGGACCCCGAGTCCAGTGTGCCCAGCAGTGACCACCGCGAGCAAAAGCACGAAAAACGATTGGAGGAAAAGATTGAGCGTTAGCAAGAGCACTATTTATTTGTACTAGATATATACACGATTTTAATTAGCAAGCCCAAAGGTTGCACGTTTGTCAAAAGGTGGCGGAGCTGAGCAAACCCTAAAATATGCGAAACCCTAAATGCTCAGAATATTCTTGCTTGCCCGCGTTCTTTATAAATTCTTAGGAACGAAGAACCCTAACGCTATGGAACTGGAGGAGATACAGGGGGATCTGTTCGAGGGCGCGCAGCCCACAGATGGCTTGGTACACTGCGTTTCTAAAGATCTTCACATGTCCAAGGGCATCGCAGCGCGCTTTAGGGACGAATTCAGGGGCGTGGACGAGCTGCGCAAGCAGAATCGGAGCGTAGGGGAAGTGGCCGTGCTGGACAGGCCTCCTCGAGCGGGAGTATTCTACCTCGTCACCAAGCCCAGGTTCTTCGACAAGCCGACGCTGGCGAGCTTGCAGGCGTCGCTGGAGGATCTGCGCAGGGTGTGCGAGCAGCGGGGAGTTTGCGGCTTGAGCATGCCAAGGATTGGATGCGGGTTGGACAAGTTGGGGTGGGAGGATGTGAAGAAGGTGATTTTGCATGTTTTCAAGGGCTCCAGCATCCGCATTAGAGTCTTTTATTTGTGAACATTTATACAGTCGTATTATTGGATTTTAAAATGCCACATATCATAGTTTGAGAAATCAAATTAAAAAAAGGAAGTGAGTGGAGGTGCTCGGACTCACTAGATAACAATGCAGAGGCTGTTAAATCCAAAGGGGTTAAAATGTGAAGCCTTGCTGGGATTGTCGATCATCTTGTTGCCACAACCTCGATGATAGAGGCGTGTTGCTCTTCCCGTGTGTGAAGGTTCTGTCTCTTACAATCTTGGATTTGCAGAGCGTTCCCATATGGTGGGGTGTCTCCACCGATGAGATCCATGACGCAGAGCTTTCCGGCATCCTGGGTGTTGCTTGCGGGCCGTAGAAGACGATCGCTTACGTACCGGTCATTTGGGATCGCATTTCATCGTCGGTGAAGAGCGTCGTCTTGAATGTGTTGCCTGTCGCCGATTGAATCCGCGGCCACGACACCCACAAAGATCGCCAGCAAGTGGAACAACAACAAGATCAAGACGAAGAACAGATTCGGATTCAGCTGCATGCTGGGAGTGCAGAGGCGAGTAAGCAACATTGAAACTGCAGTGCTGGAGCCGCAATTTAACGATATCAATCCTTATGGTATAAAGTTAAAATAAAATTATCTGTCAATCCTGGTCAATGATGACAAGTTCCAAACTTAAAACTCCTCAGCTTATTTATTTGAGACAATCAGGGAGTGGTGTGTTTGTGAGAGCAAACAGCATTTTGAGGCCAGTGTGCAGATCTTGTGGAGGATAGCCATAGGAACCAAAGGGAGAAGCTCCACACTCAATCAGTACACAACAATACACTGGTTCCTCAAATCCACATGCACGGCCAAGGGCAGTGTTCACGGGATCCACTTTGACGTCGATCATGTTCCGCTCTTGGCAAGCACGAGCCACTAGGCGAACTACCTCCAGAAGCTGGTCGTCCATGCTCACGACGAGCTTCAGAGCCGAGCGCCCTTTGCCATCCTGCAGTGTTGGATCTGCACCAGCTTTCAGTAGAAGCTGCAGCCTCTCCACGCGATTCCGTCCATAAAGCGCATTGTTGAGGGGTAGAATCCCTTGGTTGGCCTTGTTCGGCGACAAGCCGAGTTGCAAGAGCATCTTGAGCAGTTCTGGATTTTCTGTTTCGCACAACTCCTTGGGTGCCAAACTGTTAAGATGGGCCTGGGACTTGCCATTGTCATCCAAGGCATCCACAACAGTTTGCATGCCATGAACCACTGCGTAGAGGTAAGGCCACACTCCACTTTTTGCTGAAAAATAGAGGAAACACTATTACCATGTTTTTGAGCAAGTTTGGGAAGAAGAATACCTTGGACCGTAGCATTGGCACCATTGTCTACAAGAAACTTGATCAAGGTGAGATCAGGAACCTGGCACTGCAAAGCAGCCAGCAGTGGAGTGTTGCCGTGAACAGGGTCGACAAAGTCAAGATAATCCAGCAGAACCACGATCTCATACGCTGCTTGTGTCCCCTCATTGATGCTTTCTACCAGCCGAGTTCGTAGTTCATCCGTTTTAGCTACCAGCAGCGCTGGATCTAATCGTAGAGGATCCGCCCAGAGACGACCCAGGAAGTGTGAAGGATAGAACCTCATGCCACTCAACCGCCAAGAGTAAGCTGTTATATCTACGAACCTGGGAGCTTCAAACCTGTCCGTCTTCAGTGTGCCCTGCCTATCCAAGTATGCCACCTGAACAATTGAGCCCGGCACCACGAGCCCGAACGTGGCAGCTTTCGTGAGCTCCGCTTGCCGGGTAACCCCACGTTTCGCATCCTCTTCGACCTCGTAAAACTGGAGAACCACGAGAATATCGACACCCTCAAGAACCATCTTGCCGGAGCTTGTAGCGGACTGCCTGCTTGTGTCGTAGCTGCTCTTCTCGGAGATGGACAGCTCGGGGGCTACCAGCTGTCCGTCACACCTGAACAAAGTATCGGAGCTTGATACGTAGTAGTCGCACGAACAGGATCTGCTGCGAATGGCATACATAAGTAGCTCACTGACGATCTGGTAACACCAGAATGCACAGGGCTTACGGATGACAAGGTTGCTGTCCACCATCTTGAATATCAGCTCGTACTTGCATGTCATCTTATGCAGCGGGAGCTTCACGTCTGGCGGAAGAACAATCTCTACAATATTCGATGGCTCCTTCCCCGTTACAATGTGTGAGCCAGCAGGAAGTTCGACTTGCTGCCCCCAGCAGTCAACATAGACCGCCTGAAAAGCACACAGGGGTCGTCAGATGCAAGAAGCAAAATACAAAGTCACTTCCGTTCATGCTTAGCAGTTACAGGGTGATTTATGTCTTACGGACACAGTCATCAAATGCTCATTCACCTTGCTGTTTTCATTCATGCTTAGTTTGATCGCTTACCTCATGGCTTCCGTTTGTGAAACTATCTCCCTCTCCCTCTCCATCCAAGCACGGCTCCAGGCTAGCCATGGCAGACATGAGATTTCGCAATCCCTTAGTACAGTCTATTGCTTACCTGAGATTGTTCACCTTGCGCGGCCTCTGCCTTTTCATGGGTTTGACCTAGGTTTAGGGGTGATTAGTGGCTTTAGCCTTTGCTAATTAACGGGGCTGTACAGCTAGTTTTCACTTCAGAGACTATAGATTATTCTCAATACAAAGTGTGTAAAGTCCACATTCTAAGTGAGTAGCATGGTACTCTAATTTACTCCTCTCTCTCTGGCTCACTCTCTCTCTGTCTACTTGTTCTCACTTCAATCTTCCCCTGAAAACCTTTATAGATGTATATGCCTTTCTCTCACTTTTGCTCTCGTGCTCGTTCCCACTTCAATCTTCCTACCTCTTCAATGAAAACCTTAACAGACATATATCGACTATCGCTGAAAGAGCACATAAAAAACATCAGGTTGCACTATAACTGTTTAGATATGCACAATTTACATAGCATAACAATGTGCCCTCTCTGCATTCTCTGAGTGCTATACAGACTCTTTCCTCTTCTGCTGCTCAATTCCTCTTGGATTTTTCTGCATTACCTTCATCATGGAGACCATAAACTCAGTTGTTTAAGGAGATGATTAAACAAGCATTTTGGGGGATAAGTTTTCAACGCCAAAGAGCATCTAACATCAATCCAATGTTTTACAAGGTGAGGTTAAAAGAGCTGTAAAAAATGTGAGAGGCAAGCAGGCCATGTGAGAAGTACCGACATTAGTCGTGTGTTGAGATGACCCGTGTGCAAGAACCACGACAACATCTAGCTTGCAACTTTGCTTGGGTTTGGGGTCAAACAAAAGCGTGTCTTAAGGCCCTTCTAATGGAATGATTAGAGAGGAGTGCCACAAATCTAATTTAACCTCAGCTCATCGCGTACACCATGCCAACTGGGTCTCACTGATTCTTCCACGATCAAACAATTGCATGGGTCGATCGCAATCTAGAAATCGCTTGAGGAGCTCCACCGACGTAGAGTCCCACTCCTTTAAAAACCACAAAAAACTATACAATCTCAAAGACCGTTGAAACCATACATTGCAATAATTAACATTATGAAATTTTGGAATATTTTTTCTTTTTCGCGCCACACGCCGCCATTAAGATGGTTCTTTCTTTCACCAGCGCGGTAACTTTCACGCTGTGACGTTTTCACCATCCGTGTAGAACGTCAAGGTAAAACTCACCGCCACCTTTTGTGACCTTTGGCACCCCCTAAAGAGGAGGAAGCCTCGGCCAATGGCTATTGGTGGCAACTTGGAAAGGGCTTTAGTTTTCACACGCGCGAGGGAACTTCATCTCTCTTCCGCAGCACACTTTTTACTTTTCACCACTGTGTGGAAGCACCTGATGTCTCTGGTAAAAACCTACACAATGTACCTACATTTTTACATACCTAGACCCCGTTGATTAACTTCCCGGCTGGGCCTTACCATTGGTTTACCCCGGCATAAATTCCTCTGACCGCCACTGGAAGCAGCCGCCAGGGGCGTAAATGCGGCGTCGCGGCGCCTCGACGTAGTGCCCGAGAATATCCTCCGGAATCTCAACCCCATTCCGCGCATATTCCCTCGCCGTCCCATCCGTCCGATCGCAACCGTTGGATTTCGGCCTCCATATCTAATTATGCTAAAATATCTGGTGGCCGGAGCATCCGGAGCCGTCGATCCTGTGCGCTTTCCAAAACCGGTGCGACGGATCTTGGCCGTTGGATGGATTCCTGGACGGAATGGCCAGGCTAAACCGAGAAAGAAGGGAAGCGGGGCATTTCTTATTTCTTTCGCTCTCGCTGCTTTGCTCGTTTCGTTCGCGCTGTGAATCTTCCTGGCTCGCTCGCGAAGCAATCCTCTTTGGTCTATTGCGGGAGCTCTAAAATCGGCGGCTGCCAATTTCGGGCACTCCAATCTTGCACTCCCAAGTGCTCCAATCGTCAGGTCATCCCTTTCTCAGCGCTTCGATCGATCCATTGCCATTGGCTTCTCTTTTGAGTTCTTGGTAGAGTTCTTTGCTTCTTTCGCTCGTTCTTCCCGGAAGAAAGAAGAGAGGATCCTCCTGTGTTTCTTTGTTCTTCGCGGTGGATCCTTGTTCTTACATGTATCGTCTCGGCTTCGCGACACACCGCTGCATTGGCAGCTCTAATCGCAAGGGTTCCAAAGATTCGTTGTCCTGTTCTTCCAGGGATCATGCCGGGATTCGTTGTCACGACTACTAGCGGCGCTGCTACCTCGCCGCCGTCTAAAGCCTCCGCCGCCAAGAAGAAGCGGCAGTGCTTTTGGCTGGAAGCTCCTCTCGCTTCTTGTCACCAATCGGGGCCCGAGGAGGCGATCGATGATGAGATCGATCGACCCAAGAAAGTGCGCGTGATCTGCGTCGACCCGGACGCTACCGATTCCTCGAGCGACGAGGAAGAGAGTGGTGGCGCGAGGCGGCGAGGCGGCGGCGATCGTCCTTGGTCTTGCGCGTTTGATAGCGAGGAGGAAGAGGAGGACGATCGGCTGAGCTACTCGAGCTACTTTAGCGCTCTCAAAGCGCGGGCTTTCCAGCAAGATTTGCGCGGCAGCGCGGCGGCGGAGGAGGAGGAGGAGAAAGAGATCTTGGCGGTGGTGGAAACCGACGAGGATCGTATGGAATCGACCAAGAACAAGGAGGCTTCTTCTCTCACCTCTCAGCAAATGCCCGGGAAGGGCAATAGAGCTCCTGGTGTTGCTACCACGCTCGCGAATCCCTCCGGAGGGACGGGAGCGATCAAGAAGAGGAAGATCAAGGATGTGGGGTCGAAGCAGCAGCAGCAAAAGTATCGCGGAGTGAGGCAACGGCCCTGGGGGAAATGGGCTGCCGAGATTCGAGATCCTGTCAAGGGCGTCCGGCTATGGCTCGGGACTTACGACACTGCCGAGGCCGCCGCCGAGGCCTACGATCGAGCAGCGCGCAAGATTCGCGGGCCCCAAGCACACACAAACTTCTCCACTTTTCTCAATGCTCCTCCCGTTAGCGCCACCGCCGCCACACCACCGCCGCCTCCGCCGCCACATTCGTGTGTCATTCCCTCCTCGTCTTCCTCGTCTTGCTCGGCGCTGCCCAAGAAATCCTCGCCACCAGCGGCGTTTGTGTGCGCCACCAACTTCCAGTCCGAGTCCGACGAGGCTGTTCTCGATTGCGACGATGATCCAGCTCCGCTACCAGCGGCGGTGGTGGCGGAGGAGCGTGCTAGCGGCGGCGATGATCAGGAGGAGGATCTAGAGAAGGCTGTGAATCCTTGCGCGAGCAGCAGTAGTAGCAATGGGATCACTTGCATCATCAATGCTGCGCAGGACCAGCACCACCACTCGAGTTCCAAGGAGGAGGAGGATCTGGCGGTGGTCTCGAATGACGATGAGCGTTCTTCGATCGGCCAGTGCCAATCCAAGGCCAACTCCGTCATTGCCAGAAAACCCAGGATGAAGCTCAAGCCTCGATCGAGCAAGCTTCCCAGCTCTTGGAGTTCCTCTCCAAAGATCGTGGAGAAGGAGGACAAGGCCGTGGACAAGGAGGAGGACAAGGTGGATTGGGCGGCGCTCTCGCCGGTTCGCATTGGCGAGGAGCGCTGCCTGTCGATGATCCAGCAGCAATCGCCAGCGTCGGTGCTGGTGCGCAGTCTCTCGTTCGAGGAGGAGTCGTGGGGGGATTTCATGGATTTGAATCGCCACGAACGCCATCCTCGCGGCATTGAGGAGGAGAGTAGCCTCTTCGGTAGCGGCGGAGGTGATGGAGGAGCGTCATCTCAGTTCGATGAGATTTTTAGCGGCGCCGCCACCAGCAGCAGCAGCGATGGATTGACGGTGGATTCGTGGGTGAAGAGCGAGAGGGAGCTGCCATCGCCACTGCCAGTGGCGGGCATGGATTTGGAGGAGTTTGGGCTGGGCTTGGACGAGGCTTCGTTTCTGGATGGTTTGCTCGACGATTCGGCTCCATGGCTGGAGCTTGACCTTCCCGGGGATGATTTTCTCGTCATTCCGACTGTTTGATTCTTCGAGAGAGCGATCCATCCGCCAAGAGAAAGTTTTGAGTGGGAAGAAAAGTTGGGAATGTTTGTCTTGAAAAAGTTTTGTTAGAGGTGGTATACATATTATCGCTAGTATTAACTGATTAATCACTATCAATGGCCATGAGATTCGTGAAAAGCTCGAGCTCGACGAACGCTCTCGCAAGAACATAGGGGCAGATCTTTCTTGCACGACCTGCGGTCATGCGAATTAAAAAGATTTCAAGCTCTTGGATTGGATTGATTTGTCAAACATAAGGGAGTGGAATTTTCTTTGGTTCTTGGCAATTTACAAAGGGCTTTTTTTCCATGCTTGCTTGAATCCGTGTCTAAAGTTAATGTTGTCTTGGCCGAGACCACGGATTCTTTGGCGCATACTAAAATGCCCACGCCTGGCAAATTTTGTGGTGGCAGTGGACGATTTTAGATCTGCTTCTTCTTGCATTGAATCGACGTGCAAACAATAGTCATGACACTCATTCAATTCGATGTTCGCTAAATTGCTAAAATTCTCAGCCGAGAAACCATTGTTTGAGCTTGAGCCTGTTTTAATAACTGCATGCATGTGATCCCTTGTCAAGGTGATGGATGTGAAATTCAAGGGCGGAGCAAGAACCCTAGGCGAGTCTCTTGATTGCACGTCCACTTCATATGAATAAGTGGGAGGGTGGCGGATGTGTAAGTGTGAGTAAGGTGGTGATAGCTTAGGAATTTTTGTGGGTGGTCCAGTTTTGAGCAGCAGGAAAACTACAGAGCTCAAAAAGCCTTGTGAGATGGACACTTTGAAGCTGGAGAGTAATATTGGTGATGGAGATTGGAGATTTGGAATTTTAACTAAGACTGATTGCTGCCTAGCAGAAATTCCCCCACTCAGCCATAACAAGGGGAAGAGAGATTCTCGAGAATCTAAGGAGAATATAGCTCCTGAATCTAGAGTTCCACACAGTTATATTTCATCATTCCTGGGGAAAGTGCGTGAGCTGAGTGATCACAAAGAGCATGGCCAACAACACAACACAACAGGAACACAAAGTTTTATACTATAGAAAATACTTGGGTGGTGTTAAAGCTTTCCAGGCAGGCCAAAGAAGGAATGGCCCCCTCTGGAGCATGCAGAAGCAGCAGTAGTGCTCAGGAGCAGCAAACAAAACCCCAAAAAAAAAATTCAAGAATTAATTTAAACTCGAAAACTGGCAACTATATAATTCTGCCAAAATGGTAGCAAACAAAGAAAAGTTTCTTCTATGAAGAGGCGTGGGTTTTTGGGTGGACGAGGAATTGGTCGTCGCGACGACTGGAAGAACTTAAAGCAAATCTCTGCCAGTCCTTATATTATTGGATCAACACAGCACAGCGCATACCATACAAGTTTTTCCAAGTGGTGTGTTTCGTTTTTGTTGAGAGAGGGGGGCACGAATCTAAAGAAAACAATGTGGTGCTCCCAAACAACTTGTCCGCCGAGATCTAAGCGGTGACGGTCGAATTCGATATCTTAGCAAGATCGCACCATGGGCGATCCATTATCATATTTACTTTGATCCCTCACTCCAAACCATAATAGAAATGTCATCGCGATTGCAAGACGAGCATGATGTTTCGAGGTTCTTGGCATCGGGATCCCCGAAGAAAACTAATAGATCAAGCCCAGTGCTTAGATAGATCCACTCTTATAAAGAAAGCCATGGCTAAGAAAATAGGAATCTTCTAAGCTGCCAAGACTCATATGTTACAAGCTTAAGCGTTTTGCCAGCCGTGTTTGAAGCGATAGATTTACTCCACGATGTCGCCGCTACCGTACTGGAGCACAAACCGAGATCACGTGAGCCACTTTCGTCGCCGTTGACCGACATGACACGTCACTGACACGTAGAGACAAATGGCACCGACGTACAATACGTGGCATTCGGGTCTTCGTTTTCTTGAATGCTCGTCTGCTGCACGATCTCGTGTCGTAAGCCACAGCGGGACGTGCTGAAAGTGGAGTGGATCGCTAACGATCCATTCCAGTCGAGTACACAGGTTTGCTCCTTGTCGATCAATCGAATCGTTTCCACTTCTTGCTGCTACAGCTTATAGTTTTCATTTTGGTTGTTTTTCCACGAGATAATCGCCACAGAAAAAGTTCTTCCATGCAATGCATGGGGTGGGATGGATCCTCGGACACAGTGACGCGAATATTTTCGGCATTGAATGAAATGGGGGCCTGATGGTGGGCTGCAATAAAAGTGGACATTTCACAATAACATCACATATATAGTATAAGCTATTCCTGTATACGACTGTACGAGTGTACCACTACTGGAGTCCACACTGACACACCCAAAAGGTTTTTGCAAACGCTCGGAATTCTAAGGAAAAACGCTCCATATTAATTCATTTCAGATTAGCTAGATCATTAGCCAGTAACGCTTGCAAGTTACACACCTCTCTTCCTCAAAAACACTCATGCCGGCGCCTCTCTTGCCTGGTCCTCTTGATTCTCCGAAACAATCAAAAAAGAAAGCTAAGACAAATCTAATTCTTCGCTACTCTCAAGCTGTAGGAGGAGAATCGCTTCTCCGGAATCGTTTACTGCAAACAACTATCTACAGAGAGACAGAGAGAGATTGTAATCTTCGGCTAGAACACAATCAATCTCTTGTCCTTGATATCATGGAGGACGGTGTGACCACCCTGGTCTGGGTTTCCATTTCAACCATCAACGTGACAAGGGTCATAAGGTAGCAACCTGTGCATATAGCCTCATCAACACACTACACCAGGCTAACATGATGACGTGAACATACGGTCTTTCACACTAGTCTATAGTTCTTCCCATGGCTCCCAGGCAATCAGCTGCAGCTGCAGGATGGTCGCAACTCGAAAGACCGGGGCCTTCATGAAGGATTACCTACAGGACATCAACCCTGACGCCACTGGACATGCACTATTGCCAATACTGAACTAGTAAAAGTCTAGCTAACACAGTGCCACTTCGCAGCATTAGAAAACTACAACTCTGAATAAAGGCCAAGGGCTCTTCACTCATATATTCCAGACTATGAGTTGAATAGCAGTAGCCAAGATTTTAGCCACGCCAGAATCCCACGTAGATTCAAGAATAGCGCCAGAGTATGTGTTGTCTTCCCGCTCTTGATCTTCAATGCCCCTGCTCCATGCTCCATGCAATCTTCAAGCTTTAACCTCCATACTCCATGCCCCATAGTGATAGATCATCTTGTGGTTGTTCTTGGTCTTGGTATGGAAATCTTTGCCTATTGACAGGAAGCTTGAAGACCTTCACTCCTTTGTTCCACATTGCAACGATAATGTTCTTCAAAACGGCATTTCTAGATTTCTTGGTCTCATCCTTCATGGTGGGCGCTGTAAACAGTATATGAATGATTATTCTAGATCCATATCCTTGGAAGACTCCATCTCTATCTGAAGGGAAAATGGACTATATTATTCTAGATCCATATCCTTGGAACATGACCTAGATGACTCTCCATCTGAAACTTTCGTTAGTCCCTTCTCAGGGCTTGATGTGGGAATCACAAACATAGTTGGGATGTCAACCACATCTCAAACGGTGTTGGCCTAGTTTGGACACCCCCCGATCGATCAAAGAACAGAACATTGGAGCACGAGATTGCACGAAATATCGCGGACTATTGCGGAAGATCTCGCTCGACCGCCATAGCCAAGAGCTTGCTGCTCGTCACGAAATAAGAGTGGTCAATGAACTCCAGCCGTGGGTAAGGTAATTTTACAAAGAAAAGGGTTGGAAGATAAAAACCACGGGTTAGAACAGAAGTTAGGTTTTAGATCGAGCACAAGGGCTGCGGGGAGCGCCAATTGAAGTAAGTCTCAGCTCGATTTCTCCCTCTCGATCTCTAGATCTAGCTGCCGCTGCAGATCCGGGCAGCGCCTCTCTCCCGCCTGCTCGATTGGATCGGCGGCGCGGGCTAGGGTTTTTGCTTGTCGCGGTCGGATTTTGACGGAGATTTTTTCATACAGGATCGATCTCTAGCTCGGCGCCATGGGTAGCGGATTTCGCGTGTTGCATTTAGTGCGGCCTTTCCTCTCGGTCCTTCCCGAGGTTCAAACGGCCGATAGGAAGGTCCCGTTCAGGGAAAAGGTTATGTACACGGTGGTTTCCTTGTTCATCTTCCTGGTTTGTAGCCAGCTCCCACTCTACGGGATCCACTCGGCCAATGGATCGGATCCCTTTTACTGGATGCGCGTCATCCTGGCTTCCAACCGCGGGACTGTGATGGAATTGGGAATTACTCCCATCGTTACTTCTGGTCTTGTGATGCAGCTCTTGGCTGGCTCGAAGATTATCGAGGTTGACAACAACGTGAGAGAAGACCGAGCTCTTGTGTAAGTGTTTTTGACATTTGTGCTTGGTGGCTTCTACTGATGGTTTTGTGGGACTTTGTAGGAACGGAGCTCAAAAGCTTCTGGGTGTTTTGATCACGATTGGTGAAGCTGTCGCGTACGTTTTGTCTGGAATGTACGGCGACGTTCGTGATCTCGGAGCCGGCAACGCGATTCTGATCATCATTCAGCTCTTCTTCGCTGGTATCATTGTCATTTGCCTGGATGAACTCCTCCAGAAGGGATACGGGCTTGGATCGGGAATCTCGTTGTTCATAGCCACCAACATCTGGTGAGAGAAACCTTTTCCTTTTCCAGCTCTGATTATTTCTATTGTGACTGTGACAGTGAGACCATCATCTGGAAGGCGTTTAGTCCGACTACCATCAACAGTGGCCGTGGAGCTGAGTTTGAGGGAGCTATCATTGCTCTCTTCCACCTCTTGATCACGAGAACTGACAAGGTCCGAGCACTCAAGGAGGCTTTTTACAGGCAAAACCTTCCAAACGTGACAAACCTCTGTGCCACCGTGATCGTCTTCCTCATTGTCATCTACTTCCAAGGCTTCCGCGTTGTCCTTCCCGTGAGATCCAAGAGCGCTCGTGGACAGCAGGGTTTCTATCCCATCAAGCTCTTCTACACTTCGAATATGCCTATCATTCTCCAGTCGGCGCTCGTCTCGAACTTGTACTTCATCTCTCAGGTAAGACGTGACTTCGCTTTAGTTCTCGGTTGAAACTTCTTTTCTGGTTTACTTCCAGCTGCTGTATAGGAGGTACAGCACAAACCTTCTCGTGAATCTCTTGGGCCAATGGAAGGAGTCGGAGTACTCGCACAGTGGTCAGCTTGTGCCTGTTGGAGGGCTCGTCTACTTCATAACTCCGCCTTCGAGGTGAGCTACAAAATCGTTTTTTTCTTTTCACTTGATTTGACAAGGATAAACTTGCAGCTTGGCGGATATGGTGACACACCCCTTCCACGCTCTGTTTTACCTCACTTTCATGCTCACGGCATGCGCTCTCTTTTCCAAGACGTGGATTGAGGTTTCTGGTTCGTCGGCTAGAGATGTGGCCAAGCAGCTTCGGGTAAGCAAGAACTTTAGCTCGTAACTCGATCTTTTCTGACTTCTCTCCCCGGGAATTGCAGGAGCAACAAATGGTGATGCCCGGACACCGAGAAGCCAACCTCCAGAGGGAACTCAATCGCTACATTCCAACCGCGGCCGCCTTTGGTGGTATTTGTATCGGAGCTCTGACGGTGGTGGCCGATTTCATGGGAGCGATTGGTTCTGGAACTGGAATCCTCTTGGCCGTGACGATCATCTACCAGTACTTTGAGACATTTGACAAGGAACGGGCAACCGAAATCGGGCTGTTCGGGTTTTAAGCTCGCAACTTCACCGGAAGAAAAGTTTTGGAAAAAGTTCCCTGTAACTCGTGAAAGAACCAACTGATGTGAAGTGCAAATATTTCCTCAAAAAAAGATTGCAAGGCCTTGAAGTTTACTATCTACATTGCTACTTCTTTACCAGGGATTATATCCGCTTGATTCTTCCTCGGTGGTAGCAGCGGTAGTGCTCGCCGGTGTTGGTTTAGAGCTTTTTAGGACTCCTTTAGCTTCCAGATCGGCGATTTGCTGTGTAACGAAGGAAGGAGTGTAGTAGCCATCGATCCAGAGCCCCTCACCGTTGCTCTTGTGCTTAAAGTCTGGTGCCTTTGGATTTCTCTGGCAAGAAAAAGAAGTTTCGATCGTGTGATCGTGTGATCGTGTAAAAACTTGGATGTACCTTGTTGTCACGATTGTCGTACCAATCGCTGGGACTGGAGAAGAACAGCTTCCACGATTTCTCAGCGGCTAGTTTTTTCTCTGCTAGCAACAGCGGGAGGAAGCATTCAGGCTGGAATTGAGGAAGAGTTTCCAAGCAAAATTACCTGTTGGTCCTGGTTTGATGGCTGTAGCTGTTGGTAAAGGTTGGGCTTTAGAACCATATAGATCGTCCACGAAGTGAAGGTCTGATACTTCCACCTGATAACAGAAGCAAAACCAAAATGAAAAATAACTTCTAGAAGATCTTTCTACCTTCCAAAGAACTTGAGGCCCTTCGCCAGTATTCGGATCCATTTTCTCCACTAGAACACGACCACCAACGTGGATTCTATCTCCTTTTCTAACGTGTTGAGCAGCAATCTCTGCTAGATCGTTTTGAAACTCCAAGAAAAACCTGTGAGAAAAAAGAAAAAACAAAACGTATACAGTGAGAAGCTTTTCTCTTTCTTTCTCCACTGGAAGAACTTCTAGAGATCGACTTACCAGGATGGATCGCCCTGTGGAGCCTTCTTGACGCTCAAGCTCGAGGTAGCAACGATCGTTCCATTGTCGAGGTACTTGATGTCGGGATTCACTCCCACGCTGCCGATCAAATGGATGGTGTTGGCGAGGCTCTTGTCATAGCCCACCGACGAAGGCCGTGGGAACTGGGGCCTGGAATCGCCCTCTGCCGGCTGCGCCGCGGCCTTTGCCTGCCGCGCCGATCCAATGCTGCGTGTTACCACCGCTCGCAGCGGCTTCAATCCAAATGCCTCCGCGGACTGTGCCGATGCGAGCCTGGCCGTGAGCGCGAAGAAATGCCGCTGCCGGGGCGCCGCCAGTGGGGGAGAGAGCGCGGCAGCGCAGCGGATTCGCAGGAGACACGCCATAGCCGATTAAACCCTAAACCCCTGCGATATTTTAGGGTTCTTAGGAAAAATGCCTGTAGGTAAGGGCGCGAGGCTTTGATCGTCCCTGTTGTGACACGATTTCTCGCAGATCTTCCTGGATTTTACTTCGACACCGAGCGGAATCGGTACTTCCCGATCTCGCGGAAGCCGGAGGAAGCGCCAGCGGCGGCGGCAACTCCAGAGGCATCTATTTGGTATGCTTTACTCGGATTTAATGGGAATTTTACCAGGCTGGGAAGAAGAAAGTCATTCCGATTCCAAAGCTACTGCTCGACAGGGAAATCTTCCCAAGGAATCCAGTGTTCTTCCGACGATCTACAGTGGAAACATTCTCAGTTCGTCCTCAGGTATTTGGATTCTTTTTTTTTTTCTTTGTTTTCATTGTCTCTCGTGTTTGTGTCTACAGACATGGAGATATGGTGTTATTACGCCCCAGTGCGCTGTGGGCTGGGGATATTGCGGCTATTTCGAAAACAATGCAGTGTTCATGGGTAGTTCTCAAGGAGCAGCCTTGTAAGTTTTCTTCCAAGGGTCTGTTCTTTCCTCTCCCATCTCACACTTTTGTTTTTCTGTGCAGTGTTGTATCCGAAACATATTGTCGTCGTCCAAACGATCGTTTCTCAATGATAATCCATCCATTGCCAAAGAACGAGTCTCTGCTAGAGCCTGGAAGGAGACCGCCATCTCTCGCTGTAAATCGCTCCCTATGCGCCGGTGGTTCTTCCATGGTTACTGCGATCAAGACGCTGTCAACTAAGCAAAATCCGCACAAAATCGCAATGTATGGTGCCTTGTACCTTCTTCTTTTGTTTCTCTTTCAGCTACTTATCTGACTGAGTTTCATCCCAGAGTTGCAAGGCTGGGAAATGCTACTGGCGGTAGCTTGCAAGTACTCGATCTCGATACTCTGGCAGTCACAGCCGATGTGAGGACAAACTATACAGTGTGGACCGCGGACATGTTCCCGTGCGGAACTAAAGCATCAATTGGTAAAGCTCTTTCTCTGTCATTGCGCAAGCTATTATTGATCTTCACAGGAACGCACACCAGAGCTGGGGTGGTGAACCTGCAAACTGGGCAGCGAAGCTGGATATATCACTGTCCCCACGACGTTTTGTCACAGAAAACCGATAGCACCGTAAGCTTGCTCTCCGTTGCCTTCCTTTTCTTTTCCTAGTTCGATTGACTTGCAGGGAAATATTGTCGTGTGTGGATTTCGGAATGGCTGCATCTTGTCACTTGATATCCGCGAACGGCGGTTTTGGGTAAGTCAAATGCTTGTGCTTCGATTCTATCAAGCTCAGTCCTTCCTGATTACAGAAGATGGATTCAAGGAACAGCATACGCATGAAATCATCCGTTTGTAGGTAGAGGTTCTGCTTTGTCATGGAGCATTCTTCTAATCACGGATTTCTTTAGCTTGCTGCTGCTTCCATCGGATGAATCTTACGTGGTAGCCAGTGACATGAGCGACAGTGTAAGTCTCACTGCTTTCGGTTTTCACTAGCTTTTATTATTTGATCAGATTCGGCTGTGGGATCGGCGTCTTGTGGGAAGAGGATGGTTGCGTTCCTTCGAAGGACATAAGAACTCGTTTTCATCCCTGCAGCTTGGCATAGATCCGACTGGAACGGTTCTTATGTCAGGTTTGAAGTTTTGAGATAAAATGGAAAACGGGCATGAGATGGATGGCTTCGGATGACAGGATGTGAAGACAATGCTGTCAGGATCTGGAGCTTACGAACTGGCAGCCTGTTACACACAGAAACTGGTATCAGCTGCACACCGGCGAAACTCGTCTTTCGAGGTACTTGTAGGAAGCTTGATCAAAAGCGGAGCTCAACCTTTTGAAACTCACTAGAATCCGATGACGACGAACTGTGGAGTACATGGCTTGCTTCCCGCGATGAGCTAGTCTACATGCACGCATCATCACTATAGAGACTTAAACGGAGGAGCTTCTCTTTCTCTTTCCTGGAGAACAACTTACAACTTACAAGCGTGTTCTTCCAGCAAGCCTCGCTGCTGCCAGGAGATTGAGGAAATTTATGCCGACCACCACTGCTCTCGCATTGAACCGAGCCTGGAATCGCAACTCCAAGTAAGCTAAACATAAAAAGGAATGACAATGACTTACTTCTTCTAACATGTCTTCTTCCTCCTCGTCGAGCATTCCCTCTTCTGTCAGACCATAGCCATCGCCAAAGCATTTGGGTGTTTCCTGGGCTCCAAAAACGCGAAACTTGAGTAACAGAGACCGAGAGAGAATTTTTGGATTGGGGAAGTTACCGCAGGAGGTTGATCATCGGTCTCGTAGTAGAAGCTGTTTGAGCGACCAGTGAGAACGGACTTTGCGAGGGACAGGGCCTTGTCGGCGGCTACTCGAGCTTTGCGCATCCACACGGCATGGCGGATTTTCCTCTTGGTTTTGGAGGTTCGCTTCTTGGGCACTGCCATGACGATGGTTGCCATACCTCTCTTGCTTGGTGGAGTGGATATTGGCCGGAATCGCAATGTGGTTGCTCCTCCCAGTCCCTGGCATGGTGCCATCGCCATGACTAGCGCCATTGCTACTCTATCTCTCCAAAAAATAAACCCCTGCACAGTTATATCAAGGTAGAGTTTACCTTAGTTGACTTTTGTTGACCGGCGTGGTGATAGTCATAGTTGATGAGGCTGAGGTTCTGGATGCCAATGCTTCTAAGGGCGACAGATCAGTTGTCGAGCTTGCTTCAGAAAGTTCACGTCTCGGAACTTTCTTGCAAGTGAAATGGTGATTCAATCTCGGTCTTCCAGCAGGGATTTTTGGATGTAAGTACAATTTTTTTTCCTCTGGATTCCTTAGCCAACTGATCAGTCTTGCAGGACGAGTGATTACACTTACATGAACAAACTGTCCATTCTAGGCCACCTCCCTCAGTGGCAGCAGGAGAGAGACTATTTTGCTGGGCTGCCTTGATCGAGCAAGTACCTGCAATAGGCATTGAACAATATCGCTTGTCGGTCTGCAGGATGAGTCGAAAACCGCTAGCGAAAGAGGGTGGTCACTGAAATGGGAGATGATTCCGGAAATTTGCATCTTCTTGCGATCCAAGCTCACAACCGTTTAATGTTCTGATGTGAAGCTATGTCTTCTTCTGCTTCTTTCAAATAACTGAGCCAACGGTTTTGATTTAATCAAAGTCAAGAGCGGATATGCCTAGAACATTGTTCGAGTATTATATCACTCCTCAGTTGAAGTAGAAGCCTCCTCCATGGCACGGAAGAACCTCTTCCACGACACGTAAATCCCCTCGGCGATCATGGCAGTGAGATCGTCCGGGCTTCCCAGCTTGTCCGAGTAGAACACCGGAAGATTGTAAAGCGTGTCCACCTTGTCGCCCAAATGATCCGCACGCTCGAAGCAGTGAATGTAATTCTCTCGATCCACAAACGGTGGATCCACGCCGTCATCCTCCCCATCTCGATCTTCCAGCAAAACATTTGGATGTGGAGGCCCAATGCTCCTCACCGCCGCCGCCAAAAGAATCCGCCCAATCCTCCCATTCCCATCCCTGAAGGGATGGATTGCCTCAAACTGGTAGAAGAGCTGGCCGCCAAGCTCCAGCAGGGCATGGCAGCGCTCGGCCACGTCACCAATGTCCCGGAATATCCCCGCCAGCGAGAGGTTACAGTCACGCACGAGCTCCGCCAGCTCGGCCGCCACGCTGGCGGGCCGCCGGAACATCCGCCAGTATCCCACGCTCGTCCGCGTGAACGCATCCTCGTCTCGAATCCTCCCTGCGATCTCGGGCTTGGACGTTGCCAGCAGAGTCTCGTGCGCGAGAGCGATCCCCTCCACGCTGAATCGCGGGATCTTCTGGTCGATGACGCTGGCCAGCGCGAGGTTGAGGCATCGCATCGCCTCTGCGCGGCGATCGTCGTGGCGGGCGGTGGCCAGATGCTTGCCGCCGCGCACGGCGTCCAGCGTGAGATCGAAGCTTTCGTAGCCTTGTTGCTCGATCCTGTTGGCCTGGAAGAGGAACTGCGCCAAGCCCTGGATGGATCCATACGCCTCGCCCCAGCGCCTGTGGAGCCCCGGCATTGCCTCGTACCTCTCGCGAAATCCGGCGATGGCGGCCACCATGTTGCTGGTGCTCAAGCGCGTCTTCCTCCAAAATGGACGCTCCGTGTAGATGAGATCCCTAAACACGTCCCTGGAATCGTTCCCCACTGGAGCTCGGCGCGTCTGGATCGCGCCTCCAGCGCCCCATATCAGCCCGCCAGCATCCATAGCCTTGACCTAATTCTATGAAAATTTATGACCTAACTTGACCTAATTTATAAACACTGCATCAAGCACGTCATGTTAACTGAGTTCAAAAAATTCTTTTCTTTTACCTTTCTTTACTTTCTGGGGAAAGGTTGTTATGAATATTTAAAAGATTCCATTAAAATCTTTTTCAGGTTTTTAGTTTTTCTAAGTTTAGAAGATTTAACCTCGTTTGGTCGGGCTCCGGACATATCCGGCCCCGGACATGTCGGGCTTGATGCGTTTGGAATTGCTCTATAAGAAAGCTGGAAGTACGGTTTCTGCCATCTTTGATGAAAGGTAAAGTGGATCGATGGTACAATTTTACGTACTAAACCGGTGCTTTCAAGGTTCTCGATGGTGCTGTTGTGGGAAGTGAGACTGACGCATCGGCTCTTCTGTTTTGTGAGTGCTCTGTAGAGTTTTTAATTGATCTTCTTAGCCAGATGCCAGGCTTTGGTTTTTCGTAGTCATCGGTGCTGTCACTCACCCCTGTATTCTGAAGATTCCGAAAAGATCTGGCGGTTGTTCAAGGAGTGCTCTTCCGGAAACTCGTGGACTTACTTCAGTTCTATGCGGATTTCGAAGTTAACGTCTTGAAGAGGCACTGCAATTTTATTCACTCGTTTCAACTCTTAGCATTTAACCAGGAGCCCAAGGTTTGTACGAGGAATACTAGTCAATTTGAGACTGACTTTATGTGCAGCTTAAAGAGATGGCACTGTGGAATGCCGGGGCGTTAAACAATCGCAAAGAATTGACAAAGTGGTTATCGAAGCTGAGCGTTCAAGAATTAAAAGATTTGGTCTGCAACAAGGTATATATAAAGCGCTGTACGTGGATTTCATGTCTGACATTTTCGTGCACAGTTGATGCTGGCAACAGATACTTGGGCAGACAGGGTGATTTTTTAAAAGAAGTTCTAGTCTCAGCCTTTGAGAAAGGGATTTCATCAATGGTCTTCCACTGTATCCTACCGAGACCGTGATGTGGGATGAAAGTTTGGTGCCAAGCTTTGCCAATGCATCAACACTCAAAGAATCTCCAACAGTTGATTGTCAGCCTGGAAAATCTTTACAAATTACACAATTTAAAAATTCCCACTCAAAACCCAATAAACCCTACTGATCCAAAACTCGGGACCAGTCTAACTTTCTCTCACCTTATCTCGGCTCTGCTCAACAGCGATGCATTCGTTTCATCTTTTCATCTCGATGTTGCCTTGTGTATGCCGAGACTGTGAGAGTGTGTGAGAAAGAGTGATCAGGCCACACAATCATTAGAAAGCTTTTTTACAACGTTCAAAACATTTTGTTCAGTTAATACCACTTCTGAGCAGGAAACTTGAATTGCATATTTTTCCCAAGATATTGTAACATCCATGGTTGATATTTGTTTGCAATATCAAGACTGCGGTGGAATGGTAGGCAGATCAAAGCAGGATGTGTGGGCCGTGAGCCTCACACATCCTGATTGGTCTCGATTGGTCTCTATGAGAGATCCTCTATAGAGTTTCGGCCACAATGTTTCATCGACTTGCCAGAAATTGATGTCTTTCGGTTTGGAACAGGAAGGAGAGTTTGTCCCGGTGCAAAGCTTGGACTTGATGCTGTCCAGATTGGTATTGCGCGATCTTGGTGATCCAGCAAAACTGAACATGGATCAAACATATTTTGGACTGGTATGTCAAAAGAGTCAACCTCTTGTGGCTATCCCGATACCCAGGCTAGATTCTCATGTTTACTAGAAACTTCGGTCCACACCAGATTGTTTCTTCCATAAAGTTTGTTTACTCCTAGAGTTTCTCCAAAGATCACTTATATTTTACATGGTGGATTTTTTCAAATATCAGTACATTGATATTTGACCAATTGTATCATTGGAAGCAAGAGTCATCCTCCAAAAATAATCATAGTTGCAAATCAGTTTAGAGATGGAGCATATAGTTCATAATGGAGTATCTAAACCCTGAAAACTTTTAGGCCATCGATTAGGCCCGATCCTGGCCGTCCGTGTAGTACCGTTTTGGGTTTTAGAGTCACTGGGTAGGGTTTCAACTCCGTATGGAAGGGTATGTGAGTGTAGCTGTGCCAGGCGGGAGTTCCAAGGCTTTCAGGGTTGATAGTTGTAAAGAAAGTGTCCTATCGCGTCTTGAGAGGCTGTATGGTGTTGGAGATCTACTCGATGCTGAGGGTTTTCCCCTCATAGAGGAAAGGTTGCACGCAGGCAGCTATGTCTACGCCATTCAAGGTATGTGCTAAATATTGTGCTTTCTTTGTCCTGATAAACTTGCGGTTTCGTTTTAACCAGGGCCAGAGCATGTCGTTGCAGAGCTCTGCCGCATCTATGCTGACCGTTTACGGGAAGCCCGAGATGTCAGTCTGGAGAGGAACCCCCTGAGAGAAGATGACAGGCTTCCCATGGACGGCCTAGGTGATCTGCAGATACCGAGAGATGATCCGGGGCTCTGCTTTCCAATTGTCGGCAGGCATGAGACACTCTGTTCGCTGGTGTATGGTGCTGTTTTGGCGTTCCGAAACTTCACACGGGCCAATACGTGCAGTGCCTCCGTGGATGCGGGTCTCAGGGATCCTCACTTCAACGCATTGATTGCGTATCCTGGGGCAGGCAAGTCTACCATTGGCAGGGACTTTCCTGCTCTCTTCAGGAAGTTTTGGACGTCGGGAGATGCCATTGAGTTTCTCAAGTCTCGGAAGCTGCTGGTGAATCGTGATTTCATTCAGATGGTGCAGGACTCTTTGGGTTATAACGCCAGTTTGTATCACAACATCCACGACCATCAAGGGGGTCTACTCTATCCCGTTGAGAGGAAGCTAGCTTCCTCGAAATCTTTTGAGCAGATTCTGGCATTAAGGTATGGAAATGTAGTTTTTTGTTTTCTGATTGTTTTTCTGATGCATGGAGGTTCAGGCTTCTCTTTGCGGCTGTTTCCAAGCCTGTGCCCACTCTGTCGTATGAAAGTATGCTACATTCTATTGCACACATCGCCACGAGGATTACTCTGAATGACGTGCTTATTTTCTTCCGTAAAGCCGTGGAGACATCCCCATCCCACCAGAGGCCGATTCTCGTATCACTATTCCTCGACGAAATTAATTGTGCCGAGTATCTTGGGAATACCTCCTGGCTGCAGGAGGTATTATCGTCTTATGTTTACTCCTTCCAAGCTTCAAGGGAGACAAACGTTTTACTTGTGGTCACTGCATCAGATAAGGCTGCGTCCTTCAGGCTGGGAAGAACTCCACATATTCCGATTCCTGTGTCCGCTCTGAAGGCCGAGGATGCTGTTACGGTTGTTACAAACTTCTTTAGCAGGCTTTCCGTTACACTTGGCCGCAGCGAGAAATTCTGCCCGAGCAACATACTCAAACTCTGCATTTCACTTATTGGAGGGATGCCCCGACACTTGGGATACATGATAAGGGGAATGCTTACCAGCGACCCATCGGAACGCATCTGCGCAGCAACACTCTTACAGACCGCTCAGGAGTTCACCACTGATATTCTCATGGCAACTCTGAAAAATACAATCTCTCTCACTTCATGGAGTATCGGCAAGTATGAACACGGTACTGGTTTTGCTATACTGCTAACTGCTCTGCGGCATTCTCTGCTGGGTACCGTCATCTACAGGTCGGACCCGGTTGTAGACAGCAACGACATACGTGTGATCCAGTTTGAGGAAAACTCTTGGGGCGCTTTAGAGCAGAAAGGGCTAATATCGTTGCAGCTTGTGGATTCCAATGCTTCACTTGAACCTGATCAGTGGCGCTGTCGAGTACACTTTCCTCCCTTGCTTGCTCTCGCAATGCAGAGCAGTGGCAACGACTATTTTGTCACTTGCTTCACATCTGCTACGGAGCGAAGATTTCGTGGACGGGAATTGAGCGACTTACAATTCATAGCCTTTATGATCTTTCTTCTGAAGTCACCCTTAGTAGAAGAAGGATCACCTCGTGTGTTCAGGTAAAAAGCTTTTCTCTTTATGCATCTTCGGTGACTAAGATGATTTTGCAGGCTGCGAGATATCATTCCGTGTGTTTGGGATATTCATAGGGATCTGGAGTCGCTAGTTCTACCTTATCCAGATGAAGGCCGGCTTACGCCATACAGGACAATGGACCAAGTTACTGGAGCTGCTCTACAAGCACTGGTTTTGCGTCGAGGCCCTAGGTTTTCTCTACTCGCCAGTGGGAATTCTGGTTTGGATTCTGTGCACGTTCTTGACAACTTCCTCATTATCACCCAAACAAGGTCGTCTGATGATGCGAAAGAAGAACCACAGTCAGATGCTGCCACGATCTTTTGGTCATGTCTCTCGGACTTGACAGGGGTAGCTCGTCTGGAGCATTTGACAACCGCTGACTTGGAGGAGTTCGGGCCTGTGCCTACAGATTTACGACAGGAGGTTCAGCAGTTGTGTGATAACATTGATTTGGACGAGTTCGGGCCTGCGCCTACAGATTTACAACAGGAGGTCCTGTCACGCAAGCGGTTGCGTGACAACATACCTTCATCTCCAGCACCCTCGAGTGGACCATCCAGACTCACCCGTTCTAAACGAGCATCAAAGTTGAGGTATGATAATTTTGTTGGGATGCATGAAGAAGTCGACTATCCAACACAGTCAGCAGGTATTTTATTTTGTTTTCTTAGCTCATTTTTGTTTATTTTTTTCCTTTGGCAGGATGCTATGATCTATCAAATATTGTTTATATATACTCTTCCGACCATTACATAGAGCAGTCGGAGCGGTCGAAGATCATGAATTCCCAGAATCCGTTGTGCAGAAGAATTGTTATCAGGCAGGCTGATTCAGCAGGCGTTCTGGACATGTTGTCCGAGGTTCGCCATTTATCTCCTCTTCTTGTAGTTTGAAAACACTACCACCTAATAAAGTCGTCTCGACTTTGCTGTTTCCGTATTAGGCCTTGCTACATTGCAGGGCTGTTGCTCTTCACGATCAATGGTAATGAGGTGGATCTGGGACAATGTACGCACTCCCGTTTCTCAATTTTGGTGTCTTTCATTTGAATCATCTCCTCCGGCTGCAGCCATGGAATTCCTGGGGTCCATTCCACTGCTGCAGCAGGTCCTGGTGGGACTGATCCTGTGGAGCTTAGGCACTTTGTTGCAGCCAGAGAGTCTTGAACTTTTCTTCCAGAATCCATTCAGGAAGGTTTTGGTGAAAGGAGGTGGGATTTTATATGACAGGTAAGAATTGTCCATGGAGGTTGAAGTTGCTACCAGGCAGGCAACGTTGTGGCATTGGGTGAGATTAGTTCCACTTTGTATCGATTTGCTTAGTCTTATGTCATAAGAACCTCTTTTAACTCTTACGAAGTAATATTAAGCTTTATTATTATCGGTTTAATCTCTACGAATAAAAATTTTAAATTATTAATAATTATATATCTATATATATATATATATATATATATATATATATATATATATATATATATTATAATTGTCCATAGAGTTGCCCATTCTAATCTTATCAAAGAGAGGAAGGATTTTTTAAAAATTTATTAGACTTGTAAATTATATTAATCTACATCTTTTTAAAATAATTCCTCACTTAATGTAGTTATAAAGAAATATTATAATTATATGTAAACAACTAAAAGGAATGGTCTGGGAGAAGGTCCATTAAAATTAACAAATAGAAGGGGTTTATGAACAAAAATGCACTTTCTTTTTTAACTGGTTCATAGAGTTAATCATTTTAAATTATGAATAGTATTGGAAGGTGATTTCCTAAGAATTCTGAACTAGAAAGCTTAAATTTGATATTAAAAGGGTCTTAAATTAAATTTTGTTGGCTGGTTAGAGGAATTATATTAGATATTGAGATTGATACTTGGTTATGTAGTTTAGTCCTACTGGGCTAGTCAGAACTAAAGATCTTAAATATAGTTTGATTTTGTTAGTTGGATAAAGGAAATATATCACATGTTGAAATTGATATCTAACAGTCAAATTTAGCTTATTGGGCTAAATATCTTCTCCAAGCTCAACTCTGTTAGTTAAGTTAAAGGAATTATATCACATATTGAAATTAATATCTAATAGTTCAATTTAATCCCTAGATTAAACCTATAGTCCCACTAGGCTAGGGATAAGTAAAGGGAGTACTCCCAAAAGAGTAGTCAAACTTCTGCTCTCTAAACTGTGAAAGCATTCTTTCAATGTATTTTAAGATCTAAGCCATTTAGCTTTACCATCATCAATGAACTATTTTAAAACTATTGTGAAGTGAGAAACCATTAGCTAGAATAACCATGTTATAATTAATGAAACTTTTATTAATATTGAGTTAGAATAGAAAAGCACAAAAGAAATTTTTACCTGGAAACATATCCCACCAGATTTGTATAGATACTCTATGATTGATAAATATTATCCATTTTTCACACTGTGCTTTTATTGGCAATCTAATATCAGAAAGATAATAGTAATAGTAGTTGAAAACCCACATTTGTTTGCTCAAGTTCTTATAATAGTAGAACTAGTGTTTCTAAAGAAAACATCTACAGTGCATTGAGACTGTCAAACACTATAAATAAAATATATACTTTGGAACTAATTTCAATAGGATTTTCTTTTCACTTGGCATAGTGATAGTGTTCTCTCTCCTACTCGTTTGAAGTATGGCCCACACTGATAAAAAAGCACTGGCCCTGATAGACTATTAGATTATATTCAAGCATTATATTATATAATATTGCAAAAGAAATCAGTCAAATACTAGTACAGAATATTATTCATAGTCAACTGAAAAAGGCAATATGCATATAAAAATTGGTCAATAGAAATATTTCTCGGTTCTCTAGAACCCTAAAATTGTAGGGGTTAAAATAAGTAGAGCATACTAAATTTGGGAAAATATCCATCTACACAAAATCATTGGAAAAGACATCTTAGAGTTGGCTATGGTGGCTATAGTGATTGATGGATTCATTACTCTTCTCATTGGTAGTTTATCATTTGCAACATGCAAACTTGAGAGCAACAATTGTTAGATTGATCTTTTACAAGAAATGTGCTTGTGGTTTTTATAATTGGAACTCCTTCATACCATCTCACTGTTTTCTTGTATTTACTAAAACACACTACATGAGTAAAAAAGTAGAAAGATAAGATTAGTTACATTTCAGAAATAGAAAGTTCTTCTGCCTTAGCAAGAGCAATATTACCAAAATTTGCTCAAAATTTGCTCTTCATAGACAATTTATCAATGCAAAAATTGCTAGATCTTGAGCATATTAACATGCAACCTCCACACTTGTTTAGAAAATCAACGTATAGCTTTACTCAACATGCAAAGTTGGATTTTTATTGACACTACATTGCAAAAGGAAAAAGAAAACAACTTAAGCACAAGTAGAAGAGGAAAATTAGGTTCTATAAAAAAAATTGCTTTTGCATATTTTTCTCTATAATACACTAAAATGCCTTAAAATGGTAAGAGGCTGATCAGAAGCTTTGTGTTTCCAAGATTCTTAGAGCAATTGCCCCTGCAAACAAAACATAAGAAACTTTTATCCAATTGCTATAAAAAAATTTGGGTTAAAATTTATATCAATATATTCAAGTAACATGAAATTATTCATAGATAAAAAATATCATAGGGTAAATGAGAGGAACAATAGATGTTAAGTTGCTATAACTGAAGTGAAGATTGCTGGAAGTGATGGTTTAATAGCACAAGGTTTCTTTTGGCCAAAAAACAAAAGCTCTAACTAAGAAAATTTAGGTTTTTTATATTGCTTTTGACAAAATCCCAATGGTCATTAGTATTTAACAAGTGCTTCAACTTACACTTCATTTTGCTTATGGATGCAAATAGAACTTTTTTGTGAATCAAAACAACATTTCTTATTGCAGTAGGGTGTTAAGAGAGTAAGGTTCTCGGGAGAGCTATAGCTCTCAAATTCCGTTCGCAAGGGTGTAAACTTGCAGGGAAGCATAGTGAATTGTAAATAACCAAAGAGAATGACTCAAGAAGCAATTCATAAACGTTCAAATATAAAGGGAAAGGGCCCATGAACAAGAGTGCACCCCTTTTTTAATCGGTTAAGAGTCTTGGGATTTTTAGGGTTAAGTGTCCTTAGGTTTAAATAGTATTAGGCTGAGTGACTTCTTGGGAAATCCAAACTCATGAGCTTACATGTTCATATGCTATAATATTATAATTAATGTATTACCTAAGCTGGGTAATACATATATATATGTATATACATTTATAAACCTTACAGAATATTAACTTTGATAATCATTTGTAATTTTTGTCATATTACCTAAATTTCTATCTTTTTCTAGATACTTGGACAAAGAAGGCTTATATTTAAAAGAGCAAAGATGACATATTTAATCTGGATTTTTTTTTCTTGGATGCCTTAGATTAGATTAAGACACATGCCAAATTAAAAAAGGGAAATCAAGGAAAGTGGTTTCATAGTTTTTGTTTTCAAGACATTGCATTCACTCCCTTGCTTGAAATTTTAATTTTTTTTATCATAAGAACTAAATTTCTATCTTTTTCTAGATATAGTGAGTGGACTTGGATAAAGAAAGCTTCTAAATTTTTTTCCTTGGATAGCATAAATTAAAACATGAATAAAACAAACAAAAAAAAACCAATTAAGATGGTTTCATGGTTTTAGGTTTAATTTGTTTTCAAAATATTGCACTCACTTACTTAGAGGGACATCAATACTATAAATTGCACCATATCACAATTGGAGCATATAGTTGATTCTATTTCTTATCAATTAAAATGGAACAACCTCCTAAATTTGGACTTCCCGGGATGTCACCCAACCTAGTACTATTCAAACCCAAAGACGCTTAACCCCAAATATCCCAAGACCCTTAACCGATTGGAAAAAAGGGTGCACTTTTATTCATGAGCCTTTTCCCTCTATATTTGAATCTTATGGATCGTCTCTCAAGTCGTTCCCTTTGGTTGCTTACAATCTACCACGCTTCCTTGTAAGTTCACGCCCTCATGAATGGAAGTTGAAAGCTGCAACTCTCTCTCGAGCTTTGCTCTCTTGACACCTTACCCCTCGAGTCCAGCCTAGCGGGTGCAAACTGGACCAGCCAGATGTCAATCAACATGTGGTGTAATTTCTTTAGCCAACTAATAGAGTTGGACTCAAGACCTCTCTAATACCAAATATAACCTCCTGAATTTAGACTTCCCGGTGTAAGCCACAAATTTTTCCTTTCCAATTTGCCAACTTACCTCGTCTATCCGTCCAACACAGCCTTGGCTTTTGCTAAGTTCCCTTGCCAAGGTTCTCGCCTATGGTACCAGCTCCTACTTGGTCTCAGCTACTCACTGCACGAGCAACGGAGTGTTAGCCATCCATCCACGGATTCCCAAATCACTCCCAATCCCCTTCCCCGGGTTAGACTGGACTTAAGGTTCGGCTACACTCCCCGCAAGCACAAGCAGCCAAGCACACCAAGCTTCCAGGTTCCTAACATCCTTTGGTACCACAAGACTTGATCATGGGACCCTCTAAATCCCAAGTCTTGAGTGCAACACTTGCTTCGGGACGCTGGGGCGAAACACCGTGGCCTAGCGGCCCGGTATGGGTACCTCTCGCCCCCCACTTCCATCCCGAAGGAAGGCCCAAGCCCCTAGGAAGGGCGAGGACCAATGAGCCGCATGGTACTCAAGTGGGGCACCACTCCACATGAGCCGGGAGCACCGCAATCGGTTTCCCTTTCGGGAGTGGGAGCTGCTCTTGAGCACTTCCTTGGATGGGCCCTTCGGCACCAACCAAGTCCATGCTCACTCCCACCCAAGGCCCCTTGGTCCCAGTCCCAACCTCAAGTCAGTTTGGGAGCCCCACTGGAGAGTCCCTTTTAAACTGGTTCCTGGACCTCACTATCCCTACTATACT